CAAGCCTAAACCTAATCGGACGAATCAACCCTGAACACCCGAAGCCGTAGAGCGCCCTGAACTACCCCAAACCCTGATGCTTCACTCTCAGGACCCGGAGCAGTTTCGAGGGAAAATATTCATGCATTTTTTTCCTCGAAAACTCGGGCCCGCTGCCCTAAACCTAAACCTTGAAACCGTACCGTGAACCCTAAACCCTGAACCCCGAGGCTAGACCCCAACCCCATGACCGTAAACCCTGAACCCCAACCCCAAACCGCGAACCCTTGCGAGAAAGTCGAAGACGCAAGGTTGAAACCCGATCCGAAGCCAGAGAAGTCACAAGTGATTTCATGCATTTTTGCTGAGAGGTGTTGCAAACTCGCTGGCTAGAGAAGTCACAGGTGACACCCGACAGAAGTCACAAGCGATTCGCCTCTCGAGAAGTCACAGGTGACACCCGACAGAAGTCACAAGTGACCCGCCTATCGCCGGAAGTTGCAAGGCACAGAACAGTCGCAGAAAGTGAACACTGGTCAGATATTGCTATTCTATGTTGCATACCAAGTGCTCTAACATTCTTTTTTGCCTGAATGTAAGTATGTCAACATCAGCCAGCCTCTGAGTGTGGAAGCATGACACATCTTTTTGTTCTGTCAACATGATACGAGAATATCATGGCTTGACAGAGATGTGGTGGTTATGGTGGTTGTGCTGGTTGTGATGCTGATGGCTGCGGTGGTCGTGGTGGTTGTGGTGTTTGTGGTTGTGGTGCCGGTAGTGGCAGTGGTCGTAGCAGAGGTAGAAATAGCTCGTCGTCGTAGTAGTCGTAGTCCTGGTCGTCGTCGTCGTCATAGCACAGGGCATGGGTGGGGTTCAGAAACAGCAGGATCAGGGGTTCAAAAAAAACGGTGGGTTAGGGGGTCAAGAAGGCAGGCTTGCGGAGGTTAGAAAAATCGGTCGCCAGTTGAATAGAATCCACGTTCCCGCTTTGAACGAAGGGAACAACAGGGAGTCAATGCTTTGGAGGCGCTGGCAGCTAAGCGCCTCGGAGCAACTTTATAAGCCTTGCAATGTGGGTTCAGGAGCAAGGTTCAGATCCGAGTCGGGCAGCTGCTTTCCTGGATTGGGCAGATTCAGACGATTTCTGGCCCATGTTCAGGGACGTCTTCAAGACGTTTGGGCCCTTGAGCCCGGACACTGGCACGATGGCTTACATGAAATGGAAGCAATGGGAGCTGTTTATCGACGGGCTTGACGCGGCCAAAGACGCCGGCGCATTGGATGGCATAGTAGTGCCGTTGGCAGGTGAATGGCGTCCAGATGGATCGAGCTACTTCACACGCATCCAAGAGAAGCGTGATTGGGTTCTCGCTATGCAGAAGAGCCAGTGGCAAGGGCTTTTCGGATCACCACCGAAGTGGTCTGCTGGAAACTTGGTTGGTTTTATGCGATGCCCTGCAGGTTTCGTCTTAATTCAGTATGTCGTGTTTCTGGTTCACAAATTGCGATCCGAGCTGTCTGTGGAAGCAGCACAGACGAATCTAGAGAGCATGCTCTACGCCTTCGTGAACATCTTCGACGCGCACTTCGACCACCTTGAGTCTTCGAATTGGAACTACTCTTCGTTTGACCTTGCTGTAAACCTGAACATCGAAGACGAGCGTTATTTCCCGCGGTATGCTGACTTCGTTGCTGCTCAAGATAACCCGCCGGTGTATCAGCCACGCTGGCAAGACCAATGGCCAGAGCATGTTTCTTGTATTCAGCTGGGAGCACCCAAGGACTTAGAAAAGCTTCGCATTGCACTCGTCGGAGAGCATGGGCCCAGCAACTTGGAGCATCTGGAAGCCCTTTCGGCGGCATTGGAAGAGTCGACGCTTCAGGTCGAAGCCGCCCATTTCTTCACCTACTTGTGGCAGCTGGCGGATCTCTCCGACGGCAGCTCTCTCCGCTCCTCTCTGCGAATCACCTGGGAGGCTTTCTGGGGCCAGCCACTGACAGAGTCGGCAGGTAGGGACAAGAAGTCTCAGCCTCTTTGGACCATCGAACAAGCAGTTTGGGCCTTGAGGGAATACGCTCGCCGAGAGCCTTTCCTTCGAAGAGCAGAGGCCATCGTGTGCAGTGAGCCTCTTTGGCTTTGCGTCCTTCTTCATCATATATTGAGCAAGTCGATTTTTACTCGGGCCTCTGCTGCCGGTCGAGTCATGTGCCTCCTCGTTGATTTCGAGCAGGTCTTTGGTATCGACGAGGTGGAGAACTTCTGGGAGATTCTCCGGCAAGTCAGCCCCACCTTCCACGGACGCCCCGTCATCACAGCCACATCGCGAATCACAGCAGAGATGCTCGACTGGCAAGCTGGCATCAGAGTGCCCTACGTTCCTTTTCTTTCCTTGCACGTGAAAGCACGATATGCTCCCGTGCACGACGAGCTCCTCTTCCTCTTCTTTCGATCCTTGCTCCCCGCAGGCGCGACCTTCCACCGAGTGCTTCGGCTAATCGAAGCAGAGAGGCAAGCTGCTGGGAAGACGCCACGGCCAAGGATTGTCGCAATGACCAAGGCCATGAGCTACGACGAAATGGCAGCCTTTCGTGCGGTTGTAATGCTGCCGCATATCCCAAACGCCTTGCGGCTCTCCGATTGTTATGCGATGGGGCTCCCACTCTTTATCCCGGGTGAGCCACTCATCCACAAGTTTATTTGGCCAGATGATCCTCTGCCTCTCCTGAGCAAAGCTCGAATGCCAGAGGCAGCCGCAGATCTCCGTTTCCCTCGCTCTCCATTGGAGTTTCAGTCCGAAGGTCGACGATTCTACAAATTCCGGGAGGAACGGCATTACTGGCTTCAGTACACGGAGTGGTGGCTCCGTCCACATCTCCTGCACTTCAGTGCCTCGCTCTTTGAACAAGCAATGCATAATAATAATGTAAAGGCGCATGTCCCACCGTCTTGTTCTGAATGAGGCAGTGCGCGTGATCTGCTGGACAAGCTGGCGGGCTTTGCCCAAGGACATGCAGTCAGCACCGCGATGCTGAACCACCAGGCTCGGTACTGTCCCGAAGGCATAAACTTAAAGCCGAATATAGCTCTCGACCCTCGGGTCTGTGGGTCAGGCGGTTGCAGTCGTGGGCGGGTTTGTCGAGATGGTATAAATGGTATAAAGGTTTGGTTGAGTGTAGAGCCCTGCCAGGCCAAGATGAGAAGTGATGTCTTGGACCCGCAGCAGAAAGTGCTCCGTCCTGTCGTAATAAGCCTTAGCAAGCTGTGCACATGCCGGCCCTGCGTGAAGCAGACATCAGATGCGCGAAGAGCTACACTTAATGCAGTCTGCATTCGCTTGGTTGCAATCTGTTGCAATCGCGAATCGGCGAGGACTATTGGCGCTGTGGGCTGTCAGCTGCATTGGCCGACTGGGCTGGGTAGGGGCGGAGAGGTAAAAAGGGCGCGCTTTGCTTGTTCTGCCTGTTCAGAGTGCATTGAATATCAATTGAGCTGTTCAACAGCCGCAAGAAGATTGCCTCTGCGACTTCATTGCGATCTATCGAATGCATGTGGTCAGCAAGCTTCAAGACTGCAGACTCCCTTGGTAAGTTAGGGCAGAGTTGACATTCTGAGTGATAGGGTCTGGCATGAAACACAGCCACAACCAATCGAAAGTCATGACAGATCTCAGATCTCTCATTAGTAGGACGGTGGTTCTTGCGCGATGAAGCGCAAGGCTGACGAAGAGGAGGACCGGGGCAAGTAGAAATGCACTGCAGCGAGCATCGGGAAGTGCCCTTTGAGGCGTTCCAGCGAGGAGCTGCGCAAGAGCCAGAGACTGGAACGGAGCGCAGGAAGCCTGCTCGGCCGAAAGGAAAGAGAAGCAAAGTGGAAGGCGAAGAGGTCGCTCCAGAGCCCGCAGAGCCCTTCCAGCTTCAGCGCCATAGGCTCAGAACCATTCGGGCGGAGAAGACGTCTTCAACGGAGCTGTTAGGCTCATGATGTCCATGACCTCAACCCAAAGCCGTCACTGCACGGAAGCGAAGGAGCCCATCCCTTCTCGCAGAGCTCAGGTCGCGTGAGTCGCTTGCGCACGGCTGACCTGGTGGAAGGCAGGTCAAGACGGTGATGTGAAGGCCCTGCGTGTGGGAGTTTCACCCGGCCCCCAATCCCCAGGCTCTTTGATCATTGGCGCGGTGCGAGACATCACCGAAGAGGCGTTCTTGACTCTCGCAAGATCAAGGCTCTCATTGCATCGGCACCTGTAGGACTTGACATTATGCCTCGCGTACAACTTGCTCGCGTGGCTTGGCTTTGATGTTGGAGTTCTGCTTTCTTCTGAGAGAAGCCAAAAGCGGATGCAAGGTACGTGCAGCGGGCGGAGGCGAGCGATGGCTCGCCAGAGGTCTCCCGCAAGAGTCTGGCGGAGCTGTATCGGCCAGGGATGCTCGTGGTTGCCGTGGTTCTGACGGTAGGCGAGATGAGAGGGCAGAAGCTGAGGATCGAAGCATCTTTGCGCCCCGCGTTGGTCAATGCAGGTTTGACTGCAGAGCACCTCCGCAGGAACATGTGGCTTCCGGCAGCTGTCGCCGGAGACGAGGAGCACGTGCTCAAGTTAGACTTTGGCGTAGGTGACTTGACCGGCCTTCTCAAGAAGAAGGAATTCGCCGGTGAGAAGATGCCGCATTTGGGTTCTATCCTCCTAGTGGGCGTTGCGGCCGTGACTTCGTCTGGGACAGTCCGGTGCATGCTTGCATGCAAAGAGCCCTTAAGCGACGATCCCATAGATGCGGCGTTGCTGAAAGCCGGCTCTCTCGTCACTGCCAGGGTCCGACAAATCCAGTTCGGAGACTCGGGAGGAGACGGTGGACTTACAGTTACATTCTGTGGCATGCTGTCGGCCACCATACACCGCCACCATGCCAGCCATGCCTCAATGCAAGATGGTTGGAAGAAGAACCAGCGCCTTGTTGCGAGAATTCTTTCCGTGATTCCCGGCGAGACGCCAACCATTCATTTGACTCTACTTCCACATCTGCTTGACTGGGAGCACGAGACACTGAGCCAACAAGCAGCTATTGGCGAATTCTTGACGGGGGAAGTGCAGGACTTCCAGCCCAAGTATGGCCTTCGGGTGTCCTGTGAAGGGAAAGCAGGCGAGGTTTTTGGATTTTGCTCTGCAGCCCGGCTTGGAGATGCGACGGAGGATGTGAAAGCGAGTTCTGTGGCCGTAGGGCACAAGAGCACTTACCGAGTACTTTCCTACAACTTCTTGGATGCAGTGGTCACCTTGACGCGGAGACCTTCAGATCTTGGAAAAGATGTCATCGTATCCGTGTCAGAACTTGCACCCGGTCAGCTTCTATCCGGAATCGTGACCCGAGTGGCAGATCACGGCAACTCGGCAATTTTTTGCAGAGTTGAGGGTTTGCATGAATGGTTTGATGTGTGACGAAGCCCAGGTATACACGTCAAAATCAGTGACTACGTGTCGGGGCACGTTCACCTGAGACAACTCACCGACGTGCCTTTGGCCGCCGTTCCGAAGCGCTTGCAAGTTGGATCCAAAGTCAAGTGTCGGGTCCTCCACGTGCATGCGACCCGTCGACAGCTTACATTGACTGCCAAGAAATCTTTGGTCAAAAGCGACTTTCAACTCACGCAGAATTCCATGGCAAGACCTCACATGCTTTTGACTGGATACATCAGCAGCATCCACGACTATGGTGCCATCGTCAGTTTCTACGGCGGTGCCTTCGGTTTCTCGGCAACACAAGGGGAAGGCGCTAAAGCGCCCGGACAGGCGATAGGGGCGGGGAGGAGCGAGAGCGAGACGGAGATAGAAAAGGAGGAGGAGAAAGGCACTGCCCGTCCCTCTTCTCTTGACCGGGACGCCGAGGGAGCGACTTAGATTCCAATAGCACTAGTTGCGAGACGCTTACAAAGGCTTGATCCCGACCAAAGACATGGAGTCTGAAGAAGCTCCGGCGTTGGGGATGGCCGTTCAATGTCGTGTGGCCTTTGACACTGGGCTGCAGAACCCCTATAGACTGCAGAGAGCGCACTTCCTCCTGCGAAATCTTCCTTGATCTGAGGTGGATGTGAAGCGTGACAGGGTGGGCCTTTCGCTGAATCCGGAAGACGGTGTAGCAGCATCGGAGCTTCTCCAGGCAAGTTCACACATGAACGTGGCTAGAGAGCCTGTAAGCCGTAATGCTGACATCGGGGGCCCGGATCGCTGGTGACGAGGATGGGCTGACGTTTGGCGAGTTCTTGAAACGCCAAGCTGCCGAAAAACGAAGCAAGCGAGCCGCTGCCAGCGATGGGACAGCATTGAAGGCCGAACGCTTTCTTAGAGATGTTCCTTCCACAGTGAAAGATGCGTTGCATGCCAGGATGGGAAGCCACGTAAAGAGCGAAAAGAAGCCAAGCTGCCGCAGATCAAAGATCCTGAAAAGGAGCTCCAAGCTGGGTCTCCGCTCAAGATGAGGATCCGCGCGACTCACGGCCTGCAGGTGTTTTGCACGGCGCCGGTAGGTTTACGTGGCCATGTGCATGCCACTCAACTGGTAGATCTGGATGATGTGGGGAGCGGAGGAACCCTTCCGCTGCAGGATATACCTGAGAAGGGCATCTTGAGGACAAGACTCTTGAGAATACACAAGCGCTCAAGGTCATCAAAAGAAAAGGGCAAGTCCCGGAAAGGTCTCTATCATTTGGTACTGACATGCCGGCCATCGTTGATGGCACCCAAAGATGCGACAGACTACGAAGCTGCCATTGTAAGGCGTCAGTCGCTCGCTCCTGGTTCACTTGTCGCAGCTGCCATCTTGACCGTTCAGAAGAACGCCTTGATGGTGGAGGTCGCGGACGGCTTGAAGGGGCGTATCGGCTTGCTCGATACTTCAGCAGATCCGTCAGTTTTGCGATATCCAGCACAGCATTTCACCCCAGGCCAAGTGTTCCAAAGCCGGGTGCTTCAGACAAACAGCTCCCACAAAACACTGGATCTGTCCTTGCTTCCCTTGAAGCAGTCTCCTGTTCTGGGCCGCCTCCAGAAGGTCCATGACCCGATTAGCAAGGGTGTTGCAGCAGATTTAGAGCTCCCAAACAGATGCTGGGGCACGGTGCACATCACAGAAGTCTTCGATGTTTGGACTCAGCATCCGGCGAAAAGGCTCAGCCTCGGGTCCTTTTACGAGGTTGCAATTCTCAGCAGCGACTTTGCGCCGGGTCAGCGACTGGACGTGAGCTTGCGCCCATCTCTCGTCCAGGGCCACAAAGAGGCAGCAGAGGAAAAACGGCCAGCTTCAGTTTCTGAGCTCGCTGTGGGCCAGAGGGTTTCGGGATACGTGGTGAGCTCTGGGCCACGTGGTGTTTTTGTGGCTTTGAGCCGGCTCCTGACTGGTCGAATCAAGCTGAGGGCGCTCAGCGATGTGCCTGTCATGAAGGAGGCCATCTCCAAGATGTATCCTGCGGGGATGCTCCTGCGCGACATGGCGGTAGCAGAGATCGACCAAAACAACGAGAAGGTGGAGCTGTCTTTGCTTTCTACAGAAAGCGGGCTCACTGTGGGACAGCTTACGACAGGAGACATTGTCTCCGGCCGCGTCAAGGCTGTCGAGGCGTATGGTCTCTTCATCCGCCTCGACAACTCGAGCATAGATGCTTTCGTGCACAAGTCTGAGATATCAGACTCTGCATCCATCGGCGTAGAGTCTTACCCTGTCGGGACCAAGATCTCCCAAGCAAAGATTCTAAAGATAGATGGACGAAGAGTCGGCTTGACCTTGAAAGCCTCCAGCTTTACGGCTCAAGAGCTGGAGGGGGACGACTCAGTTGACGAGTTCGAGGAACTGCTCGCTTCTGCCTCGGCCGTGTCTCCAAAGCAGCCTCCCAAGAGCAAGAGGAAAGATCTCCTCGTCGAGGAGGCCCAGGAGGAGGCACCGCCGAGGCAAAAGAAGCAGAGAGTTGCCAAGGCCGAGACAGAGAAGCAGGCGGAGGCGCGGGCATCAGCCGTCTGTTGCTGTCGGGGCTCATTTAACTATTTAAGGGTTTGTCTCACTTCTGGCGGCGCTTTGCCCGGCAGGCGGAGGAGCCCGACCTGGAGCCTTGGAAAGCCAAGGGCAGTTCGACGTCCAATCCCGCTGCCTTCGACTTCGCTGAGTTCAAGGACAAAGGGGCAAAAAGTCGCCTTCGGCTCGGCTCTTCATTTTGTGCAGCGGCAGGTCGACTCTGGCACTTCGTCTGATGCTGCTGCCGATGATCCGGAGGAGAACGAAACCGGCAAGTTATCCAAGAGGATCGATTGCACTCTGCGTGAGACGTCTTGCTACGGCCGTGGCGAAAGCTGTGCGTTGTGAGTCTGTCAAGGCAAAAGAAAGCCAAGAAGAAGCAGGAGGAAAAAGTGCTGCGGCAGCAGGAGGATGAGAATGCCGTTGGCCGAGATCCAGAAAGCGTGGAGGACTTCGAGCGTTTGCTTCTAACGAAAGGAGATACTTCGATCCTGTGGATTCGTTGCTGGGCTGAGGCTTTCTCGTTTCATGTTGTCAGCGGCGTGCGAGTATGGCAGCCAAGGTTACATGGCCTTCCACTTGAAGACCAGCGACCTGGAGAAAGCCCGGCAAGTGGCAGAGCGAGCCGTAAAGCACGCCCGCCACCCAGCTTCTTTTCCCACTGAAGCTCTCCTTACCGACGTTGATAAGCGGAGAGTGAAGCGAATCTTAGGTGGGCTTTGCAGATGGCAAGGAACGGTTGAACGTCTGGGTGGCTTTCTTGAACCTGGAGTGCACCTTCGGAACCGACGCCTCCGCAGACCAAGTCTTCCGCCGGGCCGCAAGCCACAACGAAGCCAAGCAGGACGGAGGATTTTGTGGGACTCTTCTCTTTGGGAATTTGATTTTTTTGATTTTCTACTATGTGTTTCTTGGATTTTCTTTGCGGCTCCGCCGCTGGGCCTTGGCTTTTGGCTTTTGAAGTCTTGAGATCGAGTTCGAGCCGTCTTTGCTTTTGGGAAAATCGGCTGCTGGCTTCTTCCTTGCCTTTGGCTTTTGGCTGCTTGGCCTTGTGGCTGCTTGGCTGTTTGTGGTTTTTCGCCTCGTGGCTTCTGCTTCCTGGCGTCTTGGCTGTGGCTTGTGGGCCTCGCAGCTTGGCTGTACAAATGTATACAGGTACATGTGTACATATGCATTATACAAACACAAATGTAGATATGGACTTGGTTATTGTTTTATTCTCTAGTCCTCTTCTGAATATGTATTAGTATTTAATCGCTACTGTACATTCTTTTCATTTAACACCATTTCCTTTGCGATTACTAGTGGTATTGCTTGTAGTAGATGTGCTCCCGCTGCTTGCTTCCAGTCATATCCCACTGAGCGTAAATATGCAGTTGCTGACCGCGGGACGGTTGTTTCAGTAGTCTTATGGTTATTGCTGCTACTTGCTATGATTGTTCGTCTTCTTCGTATCAGCACTGTTCTTATGCTGATAGTTAGCTCATGCAGAAAATCGCTTTTTTGCAGAATGCTCAAGTTTACCCGCGGTTACATGGTGGGAAACGGTTTTGTCATGACTTCCGGTTTTTGGAGTCGAAACGAGCCGTCACATGAGGGAAAGGCTCGCCTAAGGCATTTGTCGTGACTTCAATGTTTACTGTGTCATTGCTTTTATGTATAGTTAAACTTAAGTTGTTACTTGAGAGGATATCTCCTCGATTCTTGCAGGCTTTGCTTGAATGTGTGCCTTTTCATGTCGAATGTTAGTGACAGTTTTGTGAAGGAACGTGTAAATGTGTTAACCGTTGCAATTACCTCTCGAAGGGCCCTTGAGCTCAAGGTGCAAAAAGTAGTGTCCGGAGCGCCATTGAACGCTAATTGGTAGCGGACCTGTCCCCCTCCTAGTGCAGGGTGCAGTTCCCGGTGGTTTTTGGATTTGGTTGATTTGGGAGTGAAGTGAGATAGTATGCACAGCCCTCGGCTCGGTAGATTGAGGCAACACGAGTAACGCAGAGTGCAAGGCAGGTTTGGCTCTGGCACTTAGACCTTCGGGAAGGACATCAGGCATGACCGTTACTGAGGTTTCGGAACAAGGTATACTCTGCCATGCCGGTAGTGACGAAGAACGGAATTTTCATCTATGACGGAAGTCTTGCTGATTGCCACGAGTGGGAGTTTCGTGCGGAGCTCAGAATAGTGACATATGAACACCAGGAGAAACGTCGCAAGAAGAAAGAGAAGAAGAGCAGAGAGGATTCTTCATTCGAGTCATCAGGCAGCCCCGAAGGAGGAAGGACCGAGAGATCCCCTCAGGCGGCGGAAGCGAGAGCTCCAGCTAGAGGAGAGGAGAGGGATTCATAGGGTCAGTGCCGTGCGTGGCATCGACGGGAGAGGCCCGACGCAGAACCCAGTGAAGTTGCACAGGAGAGCAGCTCCGATGACGGGTCGGTTGAAACAGTTCTTCGGGTCGTAGAAGGTCTTCGAGGGATGCAGTTCAGAAAGCCAGGATATTGGGACCCCAGCTTTGTCAGCACCCCGTAAATTGAGAACCCTGGTTGCGGAGACAAGGGCTATGGTATTTCGCCTGGACAGGCTCTTCGAGGCCCGATGAGCCGACAGGATGGCGAATCCATCGTCTCCTACATAAGGAGACGCCGGAGGTCGGAGGTGGCAGCGCTTTGGGGAGGTACGGGTATCAAGCAGAGGAGCCTTCAACAGCAGCATGTAAATGGGTATGAGCGGCAATCAGTCTCCTGGAGACTCTTCCTCCGATCCTCAACCGGCTTCTCACCACAGGAAATCCCTTCTTCCTTTTACCACCTGGCGATCCCTTGCTTCCACCGGCCTTGCCCATACCATATGAGCTGCGCACTGAAGCTGAACCGCTCGGCCGCATCAAGGAAGTTCACGAAGTTGCATTCCTCCAATGCGTTCGAGGCCACAGTTGTTTCCTGATCGGGCACGGTTTGTTCCTTTTCGCGATCCGTGACACCCGCGGGCTGCCCTGGCAAATCAGTCCAGGCATTCCAGCCTTCCTCTCTTTCATCACCACCCAATCATCTACATACCATGCTCCATCATCGTGATCGGTCCTATGTTGATACATAGGCCGTCTCTGGAAGTGTGGACAAACAGGACATTGGAGTGGCGATCCACAGTGTCCGAAAGGACGCGGCGTGCAGCAAGCGCGCAGGTAAAGGAGGTAAGCAAGACTCCAAGCACAACCCGAAGCCAGGAGGCAAGCAAGCTTTCCACTGTCCCGAACTCTAGTGACAGCGATGATGACATTGATTGACAGCGGCCCCTTAAACTCCAGCCCCCGAACGTATATGGCTTACCGCTGGGGAAGCGCCAGAGTCGCGAGGGCGGCAAGGAATGTGGGACGAGATTCTCTTCCTTCCGGAGGGGATCGCATGTTCGGAGTAGACAGTACAGAGGACTCAGCTTCGAGGAAGTGCTGCATCTGTTTCCGGGTTATGTGGTTTGGTGACGGTCATTGAAGGCTGTTGGTTCGCAGGATGTGGCAGACTTTGTGGATTGGGAGAATCATTTCCTACACCACGAGCAGAGCATGGAAGTGGAGAGACGCGAGGTACCGCTCAACGAAATGACAGGATCGACTGGGTCTGATGACCAGCACATTGCCATCCCTGCAGCATCAGCCCATAAGACCGTGAAAGGCAAGCTCCCGAATCCTCCATTGCCAGTTAGCTGCGCGATGTGCACGAACTTCTCTTACCTTGGAACCAATGCCTATGTCACGGTGAAGACCTGTGAGGTATGCGGTAGTAGTAGTAGTAGTAGTAGCAGCAGAAGTAGTAGTAGTAGTAGTATAGTAGTAGTAGTAGTAGTAGTTGTAGTAGTAGTAGTAGTAGTAGAAGTAGAAGTAGTAGTAGTAGTAAAGTAGTAGTAGTCGTAGTAGTAGTAGTAGTAGTAGTAGTAGATGTAGTAGGTGAGATGCCGCAAGAGGAGGCCAAATGCAGCGCTATAGGGATAGAGAGTGCTATCTCGGCGTCGTTCGATTTGATCTCCAACATCGCTCGGAATGTCACTGATGAGGTAAAGTTGGATGCCATGCAGACCATGACATTGGTTGACGAGTTCAAACAGGTTGAGGATTACGTTGCGTCACAGAACGTAGAGGGAAACTCAGAACCAACGCTGGCACCCAAAGAGCTCCATGAGATTTCCAACGACGTCCTGCAAGAAGTGATGGTACATCAGGAAGCAGCATCATCGGTGCGATCGTCGCCGGGCAGCGGATTCCGGGGAGATCCCGGACAGGAAGAGATAGGATGGCTTACATGGCTGTAAAGCCTGACCCCTTGCCCTCAGCAGTCCCGCTAGTCCGCTAGCCCTTGAGGAGGTTGATTTCTTCAGCATGAGGATGTCTTCGGAGTCCTTGACGATGGGGTGAACAGTTCAATTTGTGGTCGTAAGTGGTGTGACAACGCTGGGGCGAAGTTGCGGAAGTTGGGATTTGAGTTTCCGTGGCTAGGTAAAGATGGAGTGTCATTCAATGGACTTGGTGGCTCGACGAAGACATTGGGAGATAAGAGGATGGTGTTCTGCGTGAGCTGTGACAACAAGGATGTGAACAGCGAGAACAAGAACCCCCTACTCTCTGGGATGCTGGATTGCCACGTAACAACTGGTGATGACACCTCACTTCTCCTATCCTTGTTTGCGCAGGGTACACTTGGCCTTCTGAAAGACCTCAAGAACTTCGTGTGTTACACTCAGCACAACAACGGAGAGATGTGGAGGATGCCCCTGTATCGAACCAAGGGAAGCAATCTTTGAGCAGCGAATCTGACCGGTGGCTTTCGTGGCTTGATGGATTCCACGTCCCCTTAGGCCTTATCTCTGTCCTTTGCAATATAAGAACAAGATAACAACCGTTAGGGCCGAACCTGTGGAAAGCACAGAGCATCACAACCCGGATCACAAGAGCAGAGAGGCCAACCTAGCCAACTCAGACAGCATCCCGATCACCCCTGGGGTTCCGAACGAGACGATGTCCAAGCGGGTGGCAATTTTCAGCGCGGGGGCAACCTGGCAGCCCCAGGCGCGGGAGTTCTTGAACAGCGCATGATTTTCTTCGTTGTTGATCAGATGCGTCGTGCAGCGGCAACGGACCTGATCATTATCTTTGTATGCAACCAGGCGCGGCACAGATCAGTCTCCGGGGCGTTTATCAAGCATCAGATTCGGCAGTTGGCATGATATGCGTGGTATGTGCCGAGGCCTATGTGAGACTTGCACGCTTAGCGGCTTAGCACTGAGCAAGCGGAGGTCGATGCTGTGGAGCTGATTTAGGAGGTCGAGGCGGTCGAGGCCTATTGCCGTTGGGATGGTCAGCTGGCTCAGCCTATGGATAAGGCGGCGTCGTTGCGAAGGCACGGCCGACACCTCAGGTAAGAGCGGCGGCACCACGTAAAGCATCCGTCGGCGGAAGCCCGACTGACACTCGAGCGTTGCCAGCAATGCACAGACCGAGACGATTGATGTCACTTTGGATGATCATGATGAGGAGGTTGTGACTCCGAGGCCAGCTCTTCTGAGACCGAGTGCACTGTCAAGACAGGCGAGCGTGCCGACACTGACATCAATGCCCATGGCCGATACATCTTTGGATGCGCCTAGCAGAACGGCTTTGATGGATCAGGTCGCGTCGCTGTCTAAGCAGGTGGAGTCTCTCAGGATAGAGCTAAGGAGGAGTTCAAGGAGCCGACTCATCGAGCAGTCGGAGGCATTCGTCGGGCCGAAGGCGCAGAGATGAGAGAGCGAGGTCGCATCGGCATCGGAGGATGCCCACGGTTCCTGCTCCGAGGACTCCTGAGGCTGAGTTGGATTGGAGCTCGATTCCTACCTGGAGCTGCTGGTGGGGAGCCGACCTTTGCCTGGACATAACTGGCGCAGCACGGTGCCTTGTGCTGATTGAAGCAGCGATCTGCTGCATCGCCTCACGCAGGGGCGGAGACGGCGATGGCCTTTTAGGGCAGCAGGCACAGTCAAGTTCAGCCTCATAAAGCCCTGTCGTTGGCAGTGGTTCGGGCTTCCAATGTCAAGCTGTTGGCCTATTTGCGTGATGACCGGCCTTTTCACGCAGCATTGGACCCCCGTATCCCTTCTGGCTGGTGGGAAGCCGCTTGGGGGCTGCACCTCGGAGACCGCGCAACAGTTCTGAAATCGCATAGGCTGCGAATGTACAGTGTGTAACATAGGCCTGATCAAGCACCAAGAATCGGCCCATGTCTAAAAGTCTCTTTGCTGCGAGCTTTGAAAGCTTCCGGACGAGGCATGGCTCGACGTACGATCAGAGTTGTTTGACACTTTTAAACTCCGCATCTCTCACGCGTGAGCTCGCGTCGAGGGGGTGTGATTTGTCACCGACTCGAAGACGTACACCTTGGTCGCTTGTTGCGTATCTTGCCAATCTTGTCTCACTCACAGCTTGACTGCTCAGCTCAAGACATGCCTCGCGCAACGTCCAGCAAAAGGCCGCTAGTGCTTCGGGTCGCCCTAGCTTTGTCTCTTGGCTGTGCAGTTATGCAACGGTGTTAGATTCCGATTGGACCTCAAGCTTCGCCCTGCTTCTGAAGTTGCCTTGCTTGCTGGGTATACGATTGGTTGCGCCCTGCTTTGGGACCGAGAGTTAAGTGGATTCCTCTTCCTTTCACGCGATGTCCTTTACTACTATGACGATTGCTACTAGTATTGCTGTTACTATAACTCCTACGATTACCATTGCAGTTACTGTTACCGGTACACAAATAGTATTACATTAACTATCACCATTACTCTTGCGCTTATTGTTGGTGCGATTGCTAATTATGAATTGCTAGAGGTTTACGAAATGTGATCTCCAGTGCTACTGCAGCGCTTTCCGTGCCATTGGCACCGTGTCTTTCTCCCCAAGCCCCACCACCAAGAAAACGTGATCCCCCGCAATGTCAGCACCATATAGTGTTGCGACGCTGGTGTTGCAGCGGAAAACACAAAGAATTCAAAAACAAACTAAAGAAAATAATAAACTACTTGCCGAGACCCAGGCTTGACATTTAGAAGAACAGAGCACTGCACGAGGATAGGTTAGGGTTTGGAGTACGGTTCAATCGCAGACGTTCTGTGAGCGAAAGTGCATGGGTTGTTCGGACGAACCTCTTTGCTGAGTGGCCTTTTGCAATCAGCCCGTATGCTGTTTGTCTTGCAGGTCTACCTACAGCTGGCAAGGATCCACGAGCGCAACAAAAAGCCACAGCTGGCGCTGAAAGCATACGAAGCATGCTCACGCAAGTTCGCTCATTCCAAGAAGGTTTGGATTGCTTTCCTTACTTTTCTCTATCAGACGCTTGCCTGCACATGCGCCAAATGGTTCAGAAGCCTCGCTTTGGACGCTTCAGCGGCTTGACGACCCGAGGCAGGGGGACGCAGAGGGAGCCCGCAAGGTGCTTCCGAAGAGTTTGGCTGCTTTGGAGAAGCGGAAGCACCCTCTCGTAGTTTCGAAGACTGCTCTGCTTGAATACCAGCCGCTCGGACGCAGACACGAAGTCTCCGGTCCAGTCCTTCGGTAGGGGGCCGTTCCTGCGGTCAGGACCGGTTCGCCGGACCGCGGCCGCAGCATCTTTGAAGGCGACTGGCACTAGCACTGAAAGACTGCTATGGCTGTTAAGAGCGCAGGAAACGAAGAAGAGTTCGAGCATCTGACAGACCTTGAGGTCTAATGGACACTTATCCGAAGCGCACAGACCTGTGGTCCGTGTACCTGGACCGTTGCCAGCAGCACCTGCTCTTGCGGTGCCAGGGTCTTCAGGGCTGTGGGATGCAAGCCGGCAACCGCTGTGAGGATGCCCACATCAAAGCTTTTACTCCACCCAAAGTTCCCGAAGCCGATCATGATGAGATTCGTGCATTGTTTCGCCGCTGTTGTTCCATGTCGCTTCTCAGCCGCATTGGGAACAGAACTCGCGTTGAGCATGCTTTGCCAGATACCTCACCGTCTTGACTCAAGAGGCTCAAAGCTACGAAGATGCGATTCTTCTTCAAGCGATGGCTGGACTTCGAAACTCGATGGGGCGATGCTGAAAGCCTACCCCTTAGTCACTTTGCAGAGCACCTGGCTTCTGCAGCTACTTGTTCTTGCTGCTGATTCACGCTCCATTGCAGCTTTTGCTTGGAGAATGGCCCCGGAAGGTAGACGAGTGATAAACAAAGCAGAGATTAAGACATACAAAGAATGCAGGCAAGCTGAAATCCACGAAGAAAGCCGCTCAGCGCAAGCATTAGGCCGTTGCATAGTGTCAGCTTAGCACCATCGGATGGGGCCATGCTGCTCAGCTGACAGGCCTGCATACCCTTTGCATCCCGGTACGGGTTGTCTTACCTTGGGTGCACTTCTGTTGAGTTGAAGCTGGGATTCAAGGCGTGAGGCTGCGGAGGCGTGGAGTCACCCGGCCAGAGACGGTGTTGCTGTGATTCGCCCTGTAAGGAGCCCTGACCATGGTGGCGGGCTGGCTGGGACTCGATGCAATGCGGCCGAGGTTGAGTGCATATGAGGTTGGTGTGACTTTCTTGCTCCTCCGGTTCGCAGAGGACCAAGGCGAGCCCATGGTCGTCTTAGAAGTCCTCATAGACGAAGTGAGACAGGCATCACCGGACAACCTGAAAACTCTTTCAGACTTGCAGCGCGAGCTCTGCGCCAGCAAGGAGAGGATGGAAGTGTGGCAGATGCTCATAGCTGGTTTGTACACTTTGACTTCTCCAGATGCCTTGTTTGAGTTGTTCCGCAACCTGGAGTCCATGATATGCCGAGAGCTCGTATCTGCTTCCGTGATGCACTCCAGCGGAGCCTTCGGCCAGCTGGCGAGGCGCTTCGTTCTAGCTTTCAAGCAGTCAAGCTTCGAAGAGATTATCAAGTTGTACGATGCAGTCGAAAGCTTTCGCAGGGAAGGGATCTCGGCTTTCGGCCAGCTATCGTTCAAGGCCGACAGTCCTGAGACAGGCTCTGCCGCCTCGTCACAGCAGACCGTTTCAGAGTACATGAGCAGCGTGCGAAGCAAGTTTGCGGACTCGGCTGCCTTCTTACTGCGATGCTTCCACGACCAGCGATCCTCAGTGAACGGTCAGCAGATTCAGCATGCCGTCTTGGGCTTGGCCAACCTGAGCCTCGAGATGCGAAATTTGGACGACGCCTTGCAAGCCTTGGAGGACAGCATCCGTGCCGCCCAGGAGAGCTCTGACGCGAACTGTCTCTGTGCTGGGATGTATTTGCTGAGCAACCTGCTCCTCTCCAACAAGCCCAGCATGGCAGCAGCACTCCTTCGCCGATGCCTGCACCGATCCGAAGCTTTGGGACTCCCTTTGCTTGAAAGTCTGAGTTCATTGGCCTTGGCACGGATCCTGGCACTGCAGCCGAGCCTCGCTACTCGACCGACAGAGGCGGAAGCCCCTTTGGGCCCTGGCGGTGAAAGCATGAGCCCTGCTCTGCTGCAGGGGGCCGGGGCCCCTTTGGGTTCTTTGCCGTCCCGGGCTTGGGCCTTTCTAGGAAAATCGGGTGCACGGGGTAGTGGCTTTGGGGTCTTGGCTGCTCTTTCCACACCGGGGCGCGAAGTGCTGGCACATGTCAGCCTGGCATCCCTCCTCTCTACTCAAGCAGGGACTTTGGAGCTGTTGCGTCCAAAAGTCCTCCTGTGCCAGGCAGGTGTTTCACAAAGGTTTGGCCTTAGCTCTTCGGCATCATCTTGCCAAATGGTGCTTGACATCTACAAAGACCGGCTTGGTGCTGATGATCGCGCATTGGCTTTTTGTCAGTTGGCAGACGAAGACAAACAGACGGATGCGATGCAAGTCCTGTCCCGGCCTGACCTGTCGAGCTCGCGGCTCTGGGTACATGCGATTGGCAGAAAGATGGGTGAGCGGTTTCTGCAGAAAGGACTCACGGAAGCCTTTCCGGCGCTGCTCTTCCAAACCGCAAGCGCCCATGCCAATATGGCCTCGGAGGCCAACGCGGACAAGCTCCGCTCGCTCCGCTTTCAGAAGTTTAGCAATCAGTGCCGGCTACACTCAGGCAATCTTCTGGCAACGAATCAGTCTGCACGGGAGGCTTGGGAGGGGGACGGAAAAGCCTCTTCCTTGGAGCTTTGTGAGAGCCTCCTGACTCTAACCCAAGTCAATGAAGAGACCAATCCTGTGCAAGCCGTGGCATCCTGTGTCCGCTGCATGTCGCTGGCAGAAGCTGAACGGCTCCGGCTCTTCCATGGCGAAGCCTTGCTCCGGCTGGCAAAGCTGAAGCTCGAGCTTGGGGACATCCTGGGTGCCTTGCAGCTCACGGAGGAAAGCACCAGCCACGTTCTGGAGGATGCGAAATGCCGGGTCGCCGAGTTGGAGGCCGAGTCTTTGCTGGAACTCAGCTCCAGGCTTCCAGCAGACTCCAGACAGCGGTCCTCAGTCTTCGAAGCGGTTCTGGAGCGCCTCTCCTTGGCCTGTGATTCTGAGTGCCAAAGTAGGCAGAGGCGCTGCCACTACCTAATGGCAAGGACCTGCCATGAACTCGGGAGACCTGCGCAGCGAGACGGGCATGCCCGCGAGCTTCGCAGACTCACGGAATCTCAGAACATGATATCGCCACTCTATCCTGCGATTTGAAAACGCGAGCGCGGGTGACTCTGCATGCAGGCCCCAAGAACTCTTCCGTTCAAGGAATCCTGCAAACAGCGTCTTTGAATGTGGAAGACAAACAGCTCCCCAACCTCCTTGCGCTGCCGGGCAGTAGAGCTTTTTTCTGCACAGGGAACCTGCAGATTCTGTAGATGTCTCCGCACTTAAACAGTCTGTCACCTTAGCATGTTGAACAGCTGCTGGCTGCAACCTGTCCGTGGCTCGACTTCGCTTGAATCTGAACATGCCCCGAGGTCAGGAGCAAGTGCGGTCCAAGGCTCGTGAGTATGTGGAAAGCCAAGCCTAAATTGGGCTGTTTCCTCCGACGTGTCACCGCCGCCTTCCGGCCCGGCCAAGAGTCTCAACTGCCCAGAGGCTGCGCCAGGCTGTATGGATTTACAAGATAAGTGCAAGAGTCTGCAAGAGTTCCGACGCATGTCCAATCATGAATGATGAGGATATTGCATGTCCCAGTGCATCGTCGCATCGCCCGGCAGCAGTCTTTGCCTACTAGTTATACTAGTCACGAAAGGCATGAGCACAAACAGGTAGGGGGCATTCCACTCAGAAGCTCCAGCTCACACACGCACACTCACAGCGCAGAGCAGGCTTACCATGCGACCAGCAGACCTGCATCACATTTAGTCGTTTAGGCTCGGAAAAGACGAAGAAACCACACAGCAGCCCAGTCAGAATTAGCCAAGTGAGTTCAGCCCTTCCTGACAATGCGGCCCATACAACGCCCTCAACAGGCCGGTGAGCATCGTTTGAGTTTGGCTACCCAGCTAGCTGTGCAGGCACGCAGCGAACATGCCTTCGTGAACAGTTTGCTGGAAGCCCTTTCCGAGAATGCGAAAGTCCAGATCGATGGAGCTGCATGGCTCGCAGCGCTTGCAGACGCACAAATATGACGACTCTTGGTGTTGCCAAGGTGGCTCCGGATGGCAACCATTCACGCGGTAGCCCGACTGGCCGAAAGCAAGTCTCTTCTGATTCTGTGTCATCGAACGAGGATTTGTGATGGTTTGTTTGGGTACCAAGGACCGATCTGGGAGAATCCATGGGATGACCGAGATCAGATGAGACTCAAGCTGCACGAGCTAGGGACCACCTTGAAGCGCTATGGGCCTGCGGCTCAGTCCTATCCCTCGCCTCTGACTGGCGGCCGGCAAAGCTGAGTATCTCGAAGAAAACATAAGACAGTAAGGAAGCAGGAAGCGTCCATGCTCCAGCCAACTTCCTTTGCCGTATCTTTTACCAGGTCTGTGTACTCATGCGACCGAATGCCCGTAATGAGTACTGCTAGCTAGTCCTCATTTCATTGGTGTAATAATGGATTGTTACAGTAATCCTTGCTTCTTTGTTGAGGATGAGTTCGGGAAATCCGTTATAAAGCAACAAGGATCAGGCATTCGCCAAGGATGCCCTTTCTCGCCTTACTACTTATTCGTGTTAGTAATGTCTGTCATAGACCACGACCTCAGCTGTGATTTAAATCCGCGCACGATGAGTTCTAGGTTTGGCGGAGTCGATTTCGATAGAGTTTACTATGCGGCCGATACTGTACTCGTCAGTACAACACACAAGCTACCAATAATTTATTACACGAAGTAGGAGCAGGGTCCGCACAATTCGGGTTATGCCCCAATAGGGAGAAATGCTGTTACGTTGCCATGAACAGTCACAATGTCGTCAAATTTGCTGCTGGTACCAGGTCGAAAAGAGTAAACGAAAACACATGTCTGGGTCATCAAATTACACAAGCCATAGATAATAGACATGAAATCAACCACAAAACGCATGATACATTAAAGGTTCTGTATCATAAACTATCCGGTCTTGGAAGGCTGTGCACTGGCAATTACAGGTCTATGATGCGCTCGCTTCCGTCATCAGAAACAAACTTCTAGCTTAAAAACTGTTCATCTAATGCAAAAAAATGCAATCGATGCAGAAGAGAATACATGTGCTTCAGTTGAGAGGAATAAGAAGGATCCTAGGGATAGATAGTACTTATGTGAACCAAGCAAATACGAATGACTTTGTACTAAGGAAAACGAACGCAGAAATGAAGAAGTACAAACCCAACCGCAACGAAATCAAACTGTTTTCGGAGTTAGTTCGAGAGAAGCGTATTAAACTAGCCGGCCAAATCTGAGATCCAGTGAGGAGGATCCCCCCAGGCCCCTGGCAAGTCAGGTACAAACCCAACTCCGCGAGCAAATTTCGAGATTGGCAAACGGAGGGTCGCAGGACCGAGACAGAACTGGTTAGTGTACACTAACAAGTATACCTGGCCTGTACAGCAAGTCCTCTTGTCTCAGATCCAGTGCGGCCCATTTGGGGTCAAGTGGCAGCGGTGGCAGCGACTGAGCCTTCCCGTCGCGTTCGGCGGCTGGGGGCGACCCAAACACAAGCAAGATTTCCAATCCTCCGACTCAATACAGGAACAGTTACATACAGATTCGAGAACACATCTTTTCCCGCTGATATCCACGTTGAAGAAAGCATTAAACGGTGGGCGAGAGGAGGATGTATCCCCTCTCTATCAGGACCAAGACTTGCTAGAATCTCAGGACCATGACTTGCTAGATCTAGAATCTAGAAACCTTGCCGGTAGCCCCATGAAGATTCCGTTGCCCAACCTGCACTGTGTCGCAGGAATTCCCCAGGATGCTTCCTGTCTCAGCACCGTGCTCGTTTCAGTCGATGTATTTGAAGTTAAGACTCGGGGAGACAGAAGCACCAGTTCGTGAGCATGGGTTTGCGTCGGGACGTGCTACCAAGTCGTTGCTGCGGTGAACGTTGGCGAAGGCGAGCGCCGAACGCTTGAAAAACTTCGACCTGTTTCTACAGGATTGGTATTGCGCAGGCCTGTGGCGCCTTCGCTGTTGGGTTGTCGCAACATGATGCCGTGTTGCGCCAAGCTGGGCTAGAAAGCCTAGGACTTGTTTATCAGGTCCTGCACAAAGGTATTCTATAGCGAACATCAGGATTCTGAGCTCAGCAAGGTTTTGCCGATGCTGGTATGCACGACAGTGATGCCGATGAGGGGGCGATCAAGAGGATGAAGAAAAATCAGTTGAACTTGATGCTGATTTGGCGAGATACATTTTGTGCAGTCGGGTTTTGCACCACAAGTGGACTAGAATCGGATACAAAGGTGCCATGGCTTGGCATCAAAGATAACAGGTTGATCGTGAAAACCTGCTGCTCCATGATCTTGTCCAATCTTCAAGAATCTCAAACGACAACCGAAATCAGGGAATTACTAAGCCACAACTCTGTCGATCGAAGCTCTTTAAGCTGAGATCATGGAATGTCTGGATGCCGAACGTTCTTCTGCAGCTTCCACGGATAGATCACGGATCTCGCGCAAGATTCGTTCACGGACAACCCAATCCCGAAGGACACCGAACTTACAAATCCCTCGTCATCCCTCTCTCCTTCGGCTTCACCAGCCGAACTCGCTGTTGTTTTCACTTGAGCCATTCGCAGTTTCGCCGTGTAAAGGCGTTCTGAGGTTTGCTTGGTCAGCGCAGACGAGTTGCCTAAGGCTACTCTGCACTCCACCACTTTACGTCCTGCCCCGGAGGACTCCTTCTTTTGACGTTCTTGTTACGGGCTCTTCGTTCACTCTCTTTTGGCCAGTGCCACCATCTAGCATCTAGAAGCCTGTGCACACACCGCAACGTAAGAGCCACAATGTGTGTGCATGCGACATGTGGTTCAAAACGAGTTGTCTGCGACACTTAAGACTTAATTCGTCGTTAACAAAGATTTGGATATAGCATGGCCATGACACGACATACATCACGAGCACATGCCATCGCCACATTGACATGACATCCGGGGTTTCACAGACAGAACTGACCTGTTGTCTAGGCAGACAACGGTTCGTAGAAGGGTAGGACCTACTCGTGAAGAGTCACGGCCAAAGCTCGTTGAAGAAAGGCCTGCTGCGGTTGTGATTTTTGACTTCCTGAATCTCAGGACCAGATACTCATCCAAGTGTGGAGCAATCTCTGCTCTGCTCGCACAGTTTGCCGAGGTGCAGACACACCGTACCAAAGACTTCGACGATTTTAGAGCTTTTGCGGCTATCCGAGTGGAGGCACCGGATGCGATGAAGCGGTTGAAGAGAGGACGCAGCCACAGTTAACGAGAAAACAGCTGCATGAGGGAAGTGTGCGTTTGCGAATCGACGGATCCCGGAAAGTCGTTGGAGAAATGAAAACAACTCCATGCCGCCATGGACCTCACCGATGAGCAACATCGTGAGCTGATAGCAGGGGTCAGGAAGCAGTGCCACTCAAGTGGGTTGAAATTGACGAGAATGATGCGCTGAGACACTGAGAGGCTCCCAGCCGAAGATGGAGGTCAAAAGCAGTAGTTGCTTGGGCACACACACCCTGATGTCATCAGATGCGGTTAGACCACAAGCACGGGAGGCTAGCTCCGCAGCCTTTATAAGGCAAGCGTGCCTTGGGATCGCGTCCCTGCGCGAATCTTTCAGAGGCCAAGGGAGAACAGTACGGCGATCGAAAAATATTTGGACGACCCTCCCAAGGAGCTTACGGACGAAGTCTGATGGATTGATCCAGAAGAAATGGCTGCAGAGTATTAACAACCGTCCGTAGAAAAGCACAAATTCGGTAGGATGTCACTACAGGGCAACCACTTGATTGTGTTGGCAAGAAAAGCGCAAGGCAACTTCTGAGGAGAAGACTGCGGCCCCTGTGGAACCAATAATACACCCATCTGTGGAGTTTGCGCACAACAGGCACCAAGAATCGTGGGTGTGAACGCTTGCTTTGCTGTCAGCCTATACGAAGCTTGGTAATTGGTCTGTTCAAGCTACTGTTGCGCAGTGCATGGACCAACACGCGAACAAAATCAACCAGTTTCCACAAACCAGTTTTACACTCTTCCGAGGGTCTTTGATTCAGAAATAGTCACTTACGCGTCGTGAGGGTTTTGACGAGGTCCTACGGCCTGGCTTCACTCATCTGCGAGCTGAGCCTCGTTGTTTGGCAGCTTCGAGTTTCTCGGCACGGTCTGAGCCAGGAAACCCAAAACTAGAGAGATGGAGCCCCTGACCGGACTGGTGGCAACAGCTCTGCCCGAAAGCTATTTGTTTGGAGGCTTGGTTCACGATCGGTGCTGGCCTGCTGGCTCGAGCCTTTGGACAGTTTAGCTGCCGGGACCGTGGAGGGAATTGATCACACATTTACTTAACTTAGGTGGTTGAAGTCTTGAAACGCATCTCTGAGATGCACAGCCGGCTTCCAAGTGCAGAGGGACAAGACCCCGGCCTGGCAGCCTTGAGGGTCATCGAAGGACGAACGAGGGCGCAGCAAGCAGCCAACCTTCAGTCGCTCTTGCTGTTTCGATGAAAAACGCTTTCCCTCTGTGCCTTATGTGGCAGCTGTGCTGGAAAAGATCTTGCTTGTTCAGTTCATCGGACCCGTTGCACTCGCCATGCCGCCGTCAGGATTCATCTTGTTCTGTGCTGCACGGCACAAGAGGATCCGCAAGGACGCGACCGCAGCTCTGGAACGAATCCTGCTCAAGAAAAGGCTGCCGCCGTGCACGTCGGTGACTGGGTCCGTTTAGAGACAGCTCTGATTACACAAAAGAATCGTCCCAGTCATCTTTCTTTGTGACTCAACATGTCCCATGTTCACCCGGACACGGCCTTCCCAGGTGCGCATCGAGGCTGCCTTGGTGAGTGTCGGCTGGCAGAAGGGCGCAGTGAGTGGCCTACAAAAGCCACACTTACTTGACAACGCGGGAGTCGCTTGGACTTGTCACTGTCGATTGCATGCGACAGGGCTTTCGTTTTTCTTTTTCTGAGGAGGACTGGCTGAATGAGCTGGCGATGGCTCTGAAGCCAAATGCAGAAGCAGAAGCAAAGATGACACGAACCAGGCCACCGCTTTGTATTTTCCGCAGAAAGAGCACGCTGGGGCATTGGGCATTCTGAGTCTGCAATTCTCAGGGAAATGCTCCAAGCAGTGGTGCAGAGCCTCTTTCCTGGCGCGCAGTGTGAGACTTTTCTGCAAGCAGATCGTTACGTAACCACAGGCCGTCCTGTGTCTGTGGTGCCTCCTCGTGCAAGGACTACTTCGGAAGCGCAGTGAACGGCTTCGAAACTCGACTGAGTGATATCGATGCCGTGATCGTCTTCAGCAAGGAGGACATGGAGCGGCTATCGCAGAGAAATGGGCCGTGCGCCGCCAAGCTCCGCCAAAACGTGGGACGGATGCTTCAACTCTTGGCAATGTCGCTGAGGTCTCCTGCCTCGTCACCAGCGTTGAAGGCGTCAGCGCCCCCCTTCAAGGGAATGGCATTGGCCAGGCGCTTTCATTTGGAGCCCGAAGACTAAATCGGAGTTTGAAAATCCGGCAGGCGCTTGCAGAAGGAGAGTGCTGCCGTCGCTGTCCGAATGATGGGAGAAGCTTTGGTGGCCAACAAGGCGCCTTGGATTGGATAGCGATCTCTTCAAGTCGTCCACGGAAAAAGAGGGGGGAGACGGACAGTGTGACTGACAGCGAATCTGTTGACGACGGGGTTTCTTCGGTTTGGCTCATCGATCATCTTCTCCTAGTCCTCAATCCTTCCAAACACGATGCAAGATCCCAGAGAAGGAAAAGGAGCGTTTGTAGCAAAGTCGATACTTGTGCTTTTGTGGGCGTACTGGCCTAATTTCGCGGGCGGCGTTTACAATTACAAATTTCGTGCATCAGCAGTGCATCTTTCATTCGGGTAGGGGCCGATATCGGGGTCCTGTCATTCGAGGGACTTAAATCCTAAGTAATAAATCTAGAAGAACCGTTCCCAAATGACGCGGATGTACTGACAAAAAGTTCATTGCAGGCACTAGGCGGGACTACTTATTTCGATCCAGCCTCTATAAGCTCCTCAGCCTCCAACAAAAGCTTAGGTCGTAAACGCCAAAACGAGATGGTTTGGGTGGTTGTGCCGCCTCATGAACGAGAAGGGTTGGAAAAACATCGGGCCGCGAAATGCCGGCCGAAGAGCAGCCTTCGCTGCAAGCATGCAGTCCACCGCAAGACCTGCACAAGCACTGACGGAGTACCCGCCACCGGAAATCAATATACTTCTGTGGAGAGGCGCAAAACCCAAACCCTTAAATCCTGGACCCTGTACCAGGAACCTCGCCCAGGCAAGTCCGAGTGTGAGAGCTAAAATCCTGGGCAAGATGACGAGTAATCATGCTGGAGGCATTTTCAGGGTCCGGGCGGGTGGCGGGGTTGTACTCGTGGTAACAAGATGACGGCAATCTTGCCCCCCAATCAAGATTACCAAAATTGCCAAGACGACGAAGACAATTAGCGGTTCTAAACTCCCGGCATGTACCTAAACAGCTTCGTCATCCACTGCTCTCCCAGCACACAGCTGCACCACTCTGACCTGTAGATCGAAGGCCTCTTTCTCGACCAATCTTCGTCCTCGCCGCCAAGGTCCGAAAACTCACATGTTGGAAAAAACAGGCGGGTCAAAGATGATCACTAGGCTGACGTCATGGACAACTTGAAGACAACGAATATTGCTGGCTGCTTTGTACTAGCCTCGTTGGACTTGAAGGGTCGAAAGTTGTCTCGATGTGGTCCTTGGAGGTGTCTTGCCGAGGCTGCCGTCGCATTTGACGAAACTCTGCCAACCTGGCACTCCATCGAACCCCTTGTGCCTCTTCCGTATACGCTGTCTCGAAACGCATCTCCATCTGGGCAGCTTGTCTTGCGAAGACATCTTGTTGGGGAGTTGCACAGGCTGAGACCTCCGCTCCGTGGTTCTTGAACCACTCATCCTGAAACTTCCCCTTCCCTACGAGCTGTGGAAAGAGCTTGGGCACTCTGTGACTCATAACCGCTACGACATGTTGGCATAATGGGGTTGATTCGGCTTGGCTCATCGATAGTTTTACCTAGTTCTTAGCAGTATTCTGCGGAACATGAATGATGCAAGGTCCCAGAGGAGGGTCAGAAGGCATGTGCACAGGCGCACCCTTTTGAGTCGAACACCAGAAGGAAGCCATGAGTAAAGTCGATCCTGAAAATTACGATTCATTGCACTTGACATAAATGACAGCTTGGCGTCAAAGCATGCAGTGACTTCGAGCCTGAGCCTCAGTCTTGCACGCGCCTGGCGCTTCGGACCCGGCTATGCCGTGGGGGCCCGTAGGCCCTCTGAGAAACGGCAACGAGTCATCGGCTGCGTGTATGCCGTAGGCTACCCACGCAGTACTGGATGACAGGGTCCCTGTCATCAGAACCTGAGTTTGCCACCAGAACGAAGGAGGGAAGTAGGAAGAGGGAGCCCCGCTCGTGGAATCGTACCCCTCTTTGCCAGGAGTGGGGCTTGGAGGTGAAGGAGATGGTGACAGAAGCACGAGTTCCGGTACTGAAGTGCGCGAGCAAGGAAGGTGTGGCCATCGAGCCTCTTCTGCAAACTTGCTCTCGAAGCGCTTTCATTCTGCAATGGCACTTTTCCATGTGACCGAGGACATCACCTTCAACAACCTGCTGCCCCTTTACAACTCGAAGCTGCTTAAAGCCTATGCGAGCCTGGACGATCGGGTGGCGCGCCTGGGGCGCTTGGTGAAATTCTGGGCGAAGAGCCGGAATCTGGGCAGCAGGCGGAGCAGATTTGGGTGTCGACCTCTGCCTAAAGGTTAAACAGTGCATCGTACCGTGAGGTTTCGACTAAATAACCCCTCCAACCACTGCTCAGGATTGGAATAGGGGCGTTCCGAAATATGTTGTGAACGTGTCACCGGCAGTGGTGGTCGTAGTCGTGGTCGTAGCAGAAAGCAGTAGCAAGGTAGCATAGTAGCATGAGCAATTCGTAGTAGCAGTGGCAGCAACAGCAGCAGTCGTTGTGGACCAATGCGTAAGAGAATAAGAGCAAGAGTCAGTGCGAGGCTACGGGTCGTAGTTGTAGTCATGGAGGCCCCATAAGTCAAGCCGTTAAATGCAAGCAAGGACCACAGAGGGTTGAGAGTGTTTGTCCTATTTTGGTTATGGTAGTATGGGCTGCATCCCAGGAAGCATTATTTGAGGCCCCGTTCTGCAATCGGTTCAGTCTTTCGTGTGACCTCCGAACCGAAATTTCTGGATTTTGTTGGCTTCCGGAGGCCCCCCATGGATGTCATGTAGGTCAAGCCTCTACATGCAAGAACGGGACAGCAAAGGATTTAGAGTTCATTGATGCGTAAAATACTGTTGGTAGTGGCTTTCAATACGGACCCCCCCCCCGGAGCACACTTTGCAATCGCGTGAGTCAATCTTTTTCGTGTGATTTGTGTGGCCTCGTAGGGTTCTTTCCAGAGGCCCTATAGGTCAACCCTCTGGTTGAAAGACGACGGACAACAAAGGGTGTGAAGGCTAGAGGTTTGTGCAGCCCATGCTTAAAAGTGTACGTCAGGTGTTCCATTGAGGCAGTGATCAGGAGCTTTAGCAAGATCCGAGCAATTCTCGCTGAATCGAGTGTGCCCGAGAGGTTTTCTGTCGTGCAAATTGAAGAAAGTCATTTGGGAACTGTCATACCAGAAAAGCAGGCCGCCAGCAATACGCCTTACCTCCCCATTTAATTGCTTGGCAAGGGCAACCGGAGACTGGTTGCGACTTGTAGTGTTCTTGTTTCCAACACGCTCGGCCAAACCGAGTCGAACAATTGCTTTCTACCCAAGCCCACTTACTCATCAGTGAACAGAAGCTTCCAGCAGATTCCAAGGATGGTGAACGATGCATTGGAAGGTACTTTGTCTTCCTATTCTCATTGCCTGCTTCTGATACACTTTCTTCAATCTGTTGCTGTTCTACCGAATCTACAAGACACCAGTGGCATTCCGGATGCAGCGGAGCGGGCCAAGTTCGGGGACATCGACCTTTTCGATGGCGTCGTGAGCTTGGCTTGCCTTGTAGAGAGCATCTTTCTGTTGTGCCCAATCGGACATGCGATTGTTTCTCTGGTGTTCCGAGGTGCATGATGTCTGGTTCCTGGATCCTGGACGCCTTCCCCAATCCTCAGAGCGTTGGAAGAACTGGGCTTCCAAGTCTCCTGTGGGAGCCACTCTCAGAGGCTTGTCACTTGCCAGCACACGCCCACTAGCTGTCGGCCGAGATACTTCCAAGGGACATAAACCGCTTGAGAGGGGCTACGCGAGAAGGACTACATTAACAGAATTGCAGAACAAACGAAAGTTTTTGAAAAAGGGAAGCCGATCGAGAGGGAGGGAGTGAAGCTGCAGCACCCAGGAGCAAACCGCTCGAACCCTTCGAAAGGGATGAAGAGACTCCGAAGAAGGAAAACGGCTCGACTTCATGAAGTACTTCTAGCAAGTATGGAGGCAAAAAGCACACCCGATTAGGATCCACTAGCCATCACTGGCAGCCGCCTTAACAAACGGTATAAAGGAGAAACAAAAGAAGGACGCGAGGGACCAACAACATTGGTAAGACGGGCGCAGCCCCAAACTATGCGCCGTCACTAGCATCATAGCGGCAAAGGCAATACGGGCCAGAAAATGGGCAAGAACAGCGAAAGAGACCAGACATCAACCGCAGCAGCCCACACGACAGCATAGTCTCAAGAACATCAGTAAGAAGTCCGTGTTAGGGGCCAAGACATTGACAAGAAGCGCACCGGAGTTGCCAGCAGCCCTCGCCCACAGACCAGTGACTGGTTCACAGCATCATTCGCGAGAAGAGCACGAGGCGCAAAACAGCAGCCCTCACAAGCAGGATGAGCTCATAGGTAATGGCGCGGATGGGAACAAGGCCACAGCCGTCACCAGCAGCAGTTCATGCAAGACTGGCAAAGATTGGCGAGCAGCGCACAGCAGTATTTAGCAGCAGTCAGCATGAAGTAGGTGAGGCTGCTGTCAGGAGGCATACGAACGAAACCAAGATTGTCGTGTCCAAGCGGACCCAACCAGCTTCGCAGGAGCTAAGTTCGATCCTCACAGAAATTGGAATTCGATTACAGATTGTAGCAGACAGATGCCATCAGAAGGGATTGGCTCCGTCAGTTCATGCAGGCTTGCAGGAAGTGACTCATCGCCATTGCTGTTTCCACTGGGCAGCTTAAGTTTCCCAGCACAAGATGCCAGTATCAGCAATCGAAGTACCACACGTGCTCACATGCCAACTTTTGTCAGGCAAACGGTTCTGCTGCGAGGTCGGACACGCACGAAACCACCAGATGGAGATACATGCAGGAAAGTCGGTCGTGCATGTAGCCCTGATGTCTCGGTCACCGATCACTCGTCTTCATCACAGGCTCACCAAAAGCAATTCTAAAGTAAGGCGTGAATGACAAAGGCAAGAGGGCAGCAGACAACCGCAGGGCGACGGGAAGATTGGAAGTCCCAAGGCTGGCCAACTTTTTCTGGTACTTGGCCTATGAAGTTCCTGCCCACTCCGATGTCCTCAGCATCCGACTGCCCAGCCGGATCCACAAGGAGGTCTACTTCAGAGACATGCTGCTTGGCCTGATAGCGAACAACATTTTCGTCTGCCCGTCCATGAGCAATGGTATAGCCCAGGCTACAGAGAAAGAAGGCTTTGGGACAGGATCCTGTTGAACCCGTTTTAGAGCCTCTCGACACTGTGGAGGCCCGGGGAGCTTTCTTGGATGGGGCCCTGGCCCTTAAAGGGACGTTCTTTGTAGCTTGACAGGAGCACGACTGCGAGCTGGAAGAGAAGGTGCCAGAGCACGAAGATCACGAAGGTCCCGAAGATCACGAAGAACAAGAAGTGCAAGAAGAGGTGGATGCAGAGGCCTGAACCCTCCCTGGAGCGGGGGCCCAGGGAGAGCCGAAACTAAGCCGAGGACCTGGGCAAGGACCTGAACACGAAGGCGCTCCCGGAGACTCTGGAACCCGAGGTTCCTGCAGCGCCTTGGCTGCGCCTGAGTGCCTTGTGGAAGCTCCCTTTTTCAGCGTTCGCTTCGCAGCCTTCGCAGCCCTTTTAGCGAAAGTTTGCGAGTTCTCTCAGGATCTCTCGCAGAAGTACAAGCTCCCCGCAGAGCAACACGAACTGCAGCAGGCGATGTCTACACGGCAGACGCTGTGCATCGATGACCCCATGGAGCTGGGACGATCCCTAGGCCTGGGGGCAGCCTCATCGAAACAGCGCGCATTTGCAACCGCTGCCGGCTGCAGGTGCGAGCTTCCAGGGATTCGAACGTCTTTGCTATGAGTGGAGGTGCCCCAAGAGCAGCCTCTCAGATCCGCGTGCCATCGCATGCAGCCAAGCACTTCGCGTCATGTGGAGTTTCTGCAGAGGCGCGCATATCACCTCCTGTCGGAAGGGCCTGGCGATGACATTCAACGCTTGCGTGAGCTGTTCTGTTTCTTACCTCAAGCCACGCCGTCTAGACGATTCATGCGGCCGTGGGCCTGCCTCATCCGAGGTGACAAGCCAGCTCCACCCCGGTCGATCTACACCCTTGAGAAGCAACGGGCGTTTCCAACTTTGGTCGAAAGGGCCGATAGGGACAGGGCCGACAGGGCCGACAGGGACAGAAGAGGCGACAGGTGGACTGGGACAACTGGGACAGGTGGGAGTGGCAGGTCCTGGTACTCCGGAGCTTATGGCAAGGGTCCGACCGGTGCAGAGTTTGTGCAGAGCACGGCATACCCAGGCTGGCGTGGTCAGAAGGGGCCACGGCATGGAGAAGACGCCGGCCAAGCACGAGCTGGCAAGGACACAGGGTGGAGCACAAGGGAAGGAGATGGTAAAGGGGCCAAGGAAGGAAAAGACGGAAAGTCTATGGCTATGCCGATGTCGAAGGGGATGAAATCAATGATGAAAGGCCAAGCCGAGGGCAAAGGCCTCTGGCAGTGAAGCCAGACCCTTCTGCCCGTCCGCCCTTCAAAAGGTTTGCGTGCCATGGTTCCCAGCAGAGAGCACTAGAGTTCTCCCCTGTTGCACACGTGCCAATGGTACCAGGGACTGGTGAGATGACCCAGCAGCTTTTCCAGTCAAGGTGCTGTGTTGGGGTCGAGGAATTGTGCTGACAGTGTAAGTGTAGGTGCTCCAGTCCAGCAGCGCTTGTTTCCAAAACTATGTTCGGCTGCCAGAGGCAGATCAATAGGCTGATGTCAAGGATCACCCTGGGCATCCCGACAACAGAACAACACCTGAGTCGCACATTTATATCATCTTTCCATGGACTTCTCCAGTCGGCTTTCTGCGGTTCATGCGGAACTGGTGGAGGTGTGCCTTGCCTGACACCAGCAATCAAGCACAGTCAAGCACATACGAGCTGCTTTCTATGTAGTCCTGTGTAAGCTGTGTCTCTGAGAACTGAATCGAGGGGATGCAGGGGCTAAGATCGTTGAAAGAGGATTGGACAAGGTTAAGCGGACTGTCCCTTCGACTTGACTGGAGAACGTGAGACAGTGGAGCATTGCAGAAGTCAACAGAGGCAAACAAAGCCGCCGAGCACATCGATAGCAAGACTTGAGGCATTGAGAACGCGTGCGAACCTTTGGAAAGGAAACTGAGAGATGCCAGTGCAGCCTAACAAGACGGTGTGAACATTCGCATGTTAGTGCTTAGCAGTTGATCCCAGACCGTTGCCTTGTTGATTGCAGACCAACCGGCCCAAGACATGGGGGCCCCTAGTTTACGGCGCGAGCCGTGAGGAAAAGGTAGGCGCGACAGAGCTGTGCCATAGAGTCTTCGACTGACAGTGGTAGCTCTCGGAGCCCGGTTCTTGAGGAGAAGCTGTGTGGCTACGCGATCCAGGAGTTCCCTTAGCAAGGCAGTGGTTTCTCGGGAGCCGCCGGAATGCCTTCGCCAGGCGAGTCTTCTGAACCTGCAGAGGGCCGGGCCCGCCGTTCCGGGACAGGGAGCCGCCTCCCTACTTTGACGGCAAGGACCCGGCCAAGAACTTTAAGCCATGGCTTAGGGAGTTAGAGCTTTGGGCCTTTGACACGGAGATCCCGAAGGCTAAGCATGGCACCAGAATCCTGAGGCGGTTGGGCGGAGCAGCCAAGGCAGCCGCCAATGAGCTGGAGACGCGAGAAGGGGAAGGACAACATAGTCGCGAAGCTCAAGGAGTACTTTTCGCTCCACCTCCTAGGGCCTAGGGCCTTTGAGAGAGCAGTTTATGGCGAGGTCCGAGGCAGCCGGGAGAACCTCAGCGAGTACATCATCAGGATGGATGCGGCCTTCCGGGACCTCAAGAACGAGGGCGTGGACCTTCCCTCCGAGGCCAGGGGGTATGTGATGTACAGGCAAGCCCGTCTGAGCAGTGTGCAAGAGGATCAGCTGACCACGTGGACCGAAGGGAAGTTCAGCCGGGATGTGGTTATCAAGGCCTTGCGGAAGCTTGACAAAGTCCGGGACCAGCCCGGAAAAGCCAAGCGAGCCACCTACTTCGACGAGGTCAACCCTGAGGACGGTGAGCTGGAGGAGGAGTCCGACTATGCCGAGAATTGTGTGTACCTCGAGCAGGCGGACCTTCAAGACATTTATGAGGAGTCGGAGGTGAAGCAGGCGCTTGCCACGTACCAGCAGGTGCGCCGGGCCTTGCAGGACCAGAAGAATGCTCGCGAGTACTTCCCCCTCGAGAAGCCAAAGGCGAAGCGCAAAGCACAGGGCAAGAAGGGGGCATACCACAATGGTGCCCGGGTTCATGTCAGCATGCTGAAGTTGCGCACGAAATGCGCAAAGTGCGGGCAGGTGGGCCATTGGGCGGCCGAGCGCCCTAATCCCGCCGACGGCTATCGCAAAACGGGGGCCTCCTCCACCGGATCAGCCGCGAGCTCTCAGGCGGGAAGCGGCAGCAGCAGCGCAAAGACCGGCTTCTACCAGACCAGCAGCGACGTCGGCTCGAATGCTTTCTTTGGCAAAAAGCCGTTGCTAGGAAGCTTTCTTCGGGCAACCCGTGATTCGAGCCAGGGTTTGGTCTGTGAGGGAAGAAGCCAGGAAGTTCGAGAGCCAAGCCCCGAGATTTCTCCCCAAGCCACGTTCAGCGGAGTCACCACCCAAGCTCACCACGGCATCGTCGACAGTGCAGCGCAGGACGGGGTCATTGGGCAGCTGGCCCTTGAAAGGTTAGAGAAAGATTTGAGGAGCCGAGGCCTGAAGCCTCGATGGTGCAACCGCGTGGTGAGAACTAAGGGCATTGGGGGTGAGGCCAAAAGCCTCGGAGTGTGCGAGTTGCCGCTGGGAATCGGCGGTGTGTCAGGGATCTTGGAGACGGCCGTTGTCGAGGGCGAGGTGCCATTGTTGTTGCCTGAATCAGCTGAGGTCGGTGATAAATCTCGACGAGGAGTGCTTGGAGATGCGTTCGATCGGGGCCACTGTTCCTATGACCCCGCTGCCGTCAGGTCACTACACAATCGAGGTCACGAACTTTGCGGGCAAGGACTGAGAGTGAGTTCCGTTGTGAGCCACGGTTCGAGGGTGCCGCTAGTTCCTTTGGGGGGTTTGCGGAGTGCGCCGGCGTTGCCCATGAACCTGCTTCTTCAGCTGCGGTCGGAAGCATCTTCGTCGCCAGCCAAGCCGGGCTGCGGAAGCGGCCACAACTCCAAGCGGGCGTTGTCCAACTGGAGAGTGGTGTTCGACAAGCTCATCGACCTCATCCGCTGTCCACCACGCAGGCACGCATGGCGGATTGGTTCAACACGTCATTGTCGCCTGCTTGGCTGCCCTCTGCGGTAGCGCCAGCTGCGTGGGAGCCAGTCACGCCAAGGGAAGCGCACGGCGGCCAAGACGGCAGACTACAAGCAGTGGATTTCCTCGGGCCGGACGAAAGTGTTGCAGCCAGGGAAGGCCAAGACGCCACCCATGGTGAAGGTCGAGGAGTGCGGCCACGCTGCGGAATGAATCCGTGGAGCCGGGAAGAGACACAGCAGAGACGTCTACTGCCTCCAGTGCAATGGCAGGTGGGACGCCAATGGCATGGAGGAGTTCATCGCGGAGATGGTGCGAACCCAGGTGGCCGAGGCCAAGGGCCCAGCACCTGCCGGCATTACTCGGTGCGATTGTGGCGTTGCGGCGGTGAGGCTGGTCACCAAGTGCGGGCCGACCCAATGCCGGCACTTTTGGAAGTGCGCCGGTCGTGTGTGCCAGTTCTTCGATTGGGACCAGGACGAGGTGGCCAAGGTGGAAGGGGAGAAGCGCAAGGAGATGATGGACCAGGCGCGCTACATCAAGGAGCTCCAGGAGCAGCTGAAGCAGAACCAGGCCCAGTACGAGCAAGGATGCAAGCGCAGAGAGCACAGTTCGAGATGGCACTGGGCCAGCTACAGCAGCATGCGGCGGGGAACGTGGCGATGGGGAACCCAACTCTGGGAACCGAGGCCCGGCCAAGGTGGCTTGGAGCCACCCAACGGGGTGGCTTTGGACAGCCCTCTTCTTCGAAAAAGGTGGCGGCTTTGCAGCTAGAAAGTAAGACGAGGCCGGGCCAGAGTGGTGTCAGAAGGCTATTGGTGGAAAGATCCAGCAGCCAATGGGCCGAGCAGCAGTGGGTGGCATTTTGCGCCGGCATCTTTCCTGAGTTTTCCTAGGGTGTTTGGGTGCGGAGAGTTTTTCATCAAGATTTCATGGACCAAAGACGCTGTCACGACAAAAGAGAAAGAAGATTATTAGAGCATTCCCACGGCCGCTGGCATGCGGAGGGGGCTCGGTAGACAGCGGTTCTTCTTTGGAGCCAGAATGGTGTTGGCACGAATTTCGGTGCCTTTCCGCACCGTGTGCAGTTTTTGTGGTGCAGCTTTTGGACCCGGCCGAAACATTCCGGTGGGAGTCTGCGGTCTTGGGCGGCAAAAGGGCTCTTATCTTGTATTCGGGCCCGGCTGGTCGTGAAGTCGGTTGTGATTGGTACCGGTGGCAGTCGGAGTGCAAGGGTGATGTTGCCATGTTGGTGCAGGACAGACCCGGGAACCACGAGGAGAACGCCATCTACTTCATGCGAAAGGTGCCCATGGTGCTCTGAGAGATGTGTGGGAAAGTTTGTCATGTAATTCTTCGTTTCCTTTGTGTGGTGCCGTGGTCAGGTGGAACTTTGGCGATGCGAACGCCGAGGCTCTGGGGCACGCGTTTCCTCAAGAAGTTGTTGATGAAATTGACGGTGGGGCTGAGGAGATGGAGCCCGAGGAGGGCACAGCAGACGCTCCGGACCTGGCGTTGGCCGGGGAACTCACACCACATCAGAAAGCCATGGTTAAGCGCATGCACGATAACATGGGACACCCCGATAAGCTGACTTTCTTGAGGACGGTGAGACGGGCTCGTTGCGAGCCCAGCGGTGCAGAAGTACATCAAGGAGAAGTTTGAATGCGAGGCCTGCCAGTCCCGACCTCTACCTAGGCCCAGTCGTCCTGCAACCGTTGCTCGGGGTTTATCGTCCAGGTGTCATTGTCGGGGTGGACGTTCTCTTCCTTTCCGACGTGGACCCAAGCTCAAGCCAGTGCTTAACATAGTCGATTGGGGCTCCGGGTATCAGGCACTGGAGCCCATGCTGGAGAAGACGGCGAGCGAGGCCTTCCGAAAGTTCTGGAAAGCATGGGGTCGTCATTTCGGCTCCCCGGAGGTGATGGTGACAGATGCCGGCACCGAGTTTGGCAAGGAGTTCTGCGAGCTCGCAGCGGGGCGAGGCATCATTACACGGCAGATTGGTAGCAGGGCTCCGTGGCAACAAGGGATGACAGAACGTCAAGGAGGGCTGTGTTCGGGACGAGGTTTGCCCAACGAACAAGGAGGAGTGCGCTTCGGGAAACCGAGGCTGCGAAAAACAGGCTCTACCACCGGAGTGGATTTACTCCAGCTCAACGGCGCTTAGGGCAAAATCCTCGTCTCCCAGGCTGTTTGATGAGTGACGACTTCCTCGATGCCGAGCTTGTCGAAGAAGGGGCCGTCGGCGAGATGAGGCGGGTCCTTGAGATGAGACGCGTGGCGGCAGAAGCATTCATCAAGGTCAAGTCGCAGGAAGCGTGCGCCAGAGCATCCAGGGCGAGGACGCGGACCGCCGAGAACTTCAAGGCGGGTGACCTTGTGTACGTGTTTCGGAAGTGTAGGGAGCGGAAGCGAAAGGCAGCGGCCGAGAGAGAGATGGCCGAAGGAAGCAAAGCGGGAAGCCCCAATGGATGGGCCCAGAACAGGTGCTTGCAGAAGAAGGACCGAACCTATGGGTTTCGATGCGGGGTGAACTTTGGAAAGCAGCTAAAGAGCAAGTCCGGAAAGCTAGCGAGCCTTTTCCCGAAGAAAAAGGAAGGGCCCGAGCAAGCACCAAGCCGGGGTCAGAAGCGTAGAGTTACCTTTGAAGACGAGGAGCCCAGAGCTAGTGCCCCAAGGGATCGTGGTGAGCCGGGAGGGAAGCGATCGCCGGACCCAAACAGACCGTTGGCGAAGCCTCTGCTGGGTACGGGCCCGTAGGCCCGTACAACCCCAGATCCGCGTTTGAAAGGCGGACTCTCATCCGTTGGCCGGCACCAGTTCTCGAGGTTTGGAGTCTTCAAGCCCAGCTCTGGAAAGGGGTGCCCAGTACCAACTTCGTTGCTGAGCGAGGTGAGCACCTCGTTCCTTGAGTTCGAGGACGGCACCCAGACAACAGAAAGGAACAAGTGGCGATCGCGAACCCCCCAGGCAAAACCCTTGAGATCGTGGCGGGGAAGGACCGAGTTCCGCGTCAACGACGTTGCGAACCCGGAGGTGCTCCAGGCCTTCATCGTGAAGAAGCGGGGCAGCGACGAGGTGAAGACGATACCAGCCGAGGACGCAGAGCGCTGGCGAGACGCAGACGCTGCAGAGTGGGAGAAAGTGGAGGCCACAGGCGCCATTCGAGAGCTGTCGCTCGAGGAATCGGCGAAGGTACTTCAGGAGCTGACCGCGGCCAACAAGCTGGACAGGGTCCTTCCGACCAGGATGGTTCCCCCGAAACAAACCCGGCGAATTGCCGGGGGAACCGAGCTCACATTGAAGTCACGGCTTTGCATTCGGGGAGATTGTGACCCAGACGTTTTCAGTCTAGAAAGACACGCGCCCACGGCGAGCTCGCTGACTCTGGCTATCGCCATGCAGGTGTGCGCCACCCGTAGATGGAGAGCCTCGGTTGGTGATTTAAGAAACGCGTTTTGCCAGTCGGAGGCTTTGCACCGCAAGGCGGGGAGGCTGTTTGCTCGGCAGCCAGACGGCGGACTTCGTGGGTTGGACCGAGCGCAGCTGCGCGGGGCCTCCGGGCTCAACGACCGGCCCACTTCAACCGAAGTCTGAAGAAGGCGCTGCAGCAGCTGGGCTACGAGCAGTCCGTGTTGGACCCCACGCTCTTTCTACTTCGCAGAGCGGGGCACGTCGTGGGCATGGTCATCGTCGAGGTCGACGACGTGTGGACTGCCGGGAACGAGGAGCACTACCAGCAGGTCGGCGCTCTGAGACAGAGGTTCACTTTCGGGAAGTTCAAGTACCTGCAAGACGAGGTGGACGGGGTCGGTTTCAACGGCCGCCGCATGAGGCAAGACAGCTCCTACGGCTTTTCGTACGACCTCCAGAAGTTCATCGAAGAGCGCCTCGAGCCCATCGATATCGAGGGGAAACTGGGAGAACAGCTCGCTCAACTGGCTGGGCCGCGAGGGCCGGCCAGACCTGGCCGGGGAGGTGAGCATCCTTTCGAGTCGGATTCCTGATCTTAGGGTCAGAGACCTGAGAGACATCAACAAGACCGTGGCAAAGGCCAAGGAGCGACGCTAGCTACGCCAACGTCAGAGACGGAGGCTCTCAGGGAGGTCACTGCGTGATCGCTTTTGACACCCGGATCCATGGGGGCGAGACGGCTCAATGTAATGATATCCTGTATTGGAAGTCGGGTCGTATCCATAGGGTTGTGAAATCTACCTTGGCGGCTGAAAGCATGAGCTTGTCACGGGCCCTAGGAGATCTCATGTGGTGCATAACTCTTTTCAACGAGTTGACTCACGTAGGCTTCGAACTCAGAGAGTGGAAAACTGCTCTAAGGCATCGTCGGCTTTGTGTCATCCCAGGGAAGCAAGAGGAACCCCGCAACTTAGCTGTGGTAGACGCTAAATCCGCTAAATCGTTGTATGACCATCTGGCTAGGGAAACCTGCGGACACACAGCTGACCGCCGTACCGCGATTGAGATGCAGATCATTCGTCAGACCCTTAGCGAGCTCAGTGCCTCTATCCGTTGGATCGATCACAGCCGCATGCTGGTAGACGTTTTGACAAAGATGGGCGGAAACTCAGAACCGCTTCATCGAGTGCTATCTTCAGGGCAATGGAGCATTGTGGCGGAAGCTCAAAAGATAGAGCTTCGAAGGAAGCAGCGCACAGAGGGCATTCCAATCCGCCGCAATAAGTCTGGGTGGGAGCTGTGAACATTCGCATGTTAGTGCTTAACAGTTGATCCCAGACCGTTGCCTTGTTGATTGCAGACCAACCGGCCCAAGACATGGAGGCCCCTAGTTTATGGCGCGAGCCGTGAGGAAAAGGTAGGCGCGACAGAGCTGCGCCATAGAGTCTTCGAGTTGAGCTGTGCGCTTCCGGGAGCTACCACTGTCAGTCGACAACGGCCGAAACAGTTGGCTTTTTGGTAGACGGAAGAAGGCAAGCTTTAAGCTCTTCGGGATCAAAGCTGGCACGTTGCAGTCGTTCAGTTGTGAGCAGAGGCGAGCTGCCTGCGCGAATGGCGGAGGTTATCTGGGCATCTCTGGCAGCGCTTCGAGCGCACTTAGCTTTCATGACCGGATCAGACCCACTCCTTCCGGGCTCATTCCTAGTCCTAGTTGCCAGATTCAGGTGATCTCGACAGCTACGCGGAGGAGCTGCAAGAGAAGGAGCATCGCGAGCACTCGCCAAGCACGCGCCATTTCTTTTCTACGAACACGGTGCACTTTACTCCTGCGAATACACAGGAACAGCTGCTCCGCCAGATTGCCAACGCGCAGGTGCTGCGGGGTTTGATGTAACCAGACCGGACCAGCGTTGGCTGCAATCATCGCGGCATTGGGGCTTTAACGCTTTTTAACGCAACAGCAGGAAAATTGAGGATGATCGCGGGATCGGAGACCCTAAGCCCGTAAACCCCACTCGAAACACCCTAAACCCAAACCAAGGGTCTCCAGGTGGTCTTTGGCTTTGGGATGTTAAAGCCTGTATCACGCCGGCCTCGCACCATGAACCTCGCCTGGCTTGTCCGAGTTGTGAGAGCGTCAACCTTTCGGTCAAGATTCGGGAATTTTTGTTTAGTCCGAGGTCGGACCAGCGAGGCCACCACCTCCCGGTCCGGCCAGCACCTTCGACCGCTGCGCCTTGCCCAGCGTGTCCGGTTCCAAGACTCCTTGCTCCAGGGATTTAGGGTTTTTAGGGTTTAGGGTTGTCAAGATAGAGCGCGTGGAGAAGATGGGTGATCGAGTCAAACCACCTACAAACCCCGGGGTTCAGAGCATTCACTGAAGAACTCGACAATGCGTTCATGTCCGTCGCTGTTATAATTCAGAATATATTGTAGTGTAAATTTAGACGGCACAGAGAGAGAGAGAGAATTACTTCTTTCATACTTCCATGTCACAATGTTTTCCCGAACGCCCCAGGTCGGAGCCTCAGCATGGGTTTTTTCAGTGACTCAAGCAAACCCCCTTTCTTGCAGAGCCAACCACAACAGTTGCCGTGCAAAGTGTGCAATATCCACATCCTCTAGCTCACTAGCTTGCTGTACAGTGCGTAGACTTGTTGCCCTTCGAAACAGTGCACAGTGCAAGCCGGCATACACCTCGTGGGGAACCCCGACGTCTGCTTTTCCATGTCACTAGATCGCTTTGTGCTGTATGTAGGTACGCGGGACCCCAGGCCCACATACATGCTAATAGTGTCCGTGCATGCCTTGCTCCTGTGGAGAAGTGCTCTGCCCACCTGTACCTCAATACCTGGGGGACGAACAGTCGGTTTCAAGGTTCGGTTGTTTTATTTCTGTGTCAGTTTGTCCCCCTTGGTACGTGGGAATGCTACCGTTGCTGCCGACGCCCCCAAAGCCCCACAAAACCTGGGGGGCCCAAAGGGCCGGGGGACTAACATACCCCTCGAACCCGAAGGAAGAAGAAGAGATAACCGAAGGACCTATAGATTTTCGGGGAAGCTGCGATGTCAGGGCCCCGATAGTCTCTCATCACTACAACTTCCTCTTTGATTGCTTCTCCCAAGCAAACGGTCCACACCTGAAAAGGCCATGCAATCCTGACACGCATCGTCTTATGAGACAACACTGTGACACTGTGGACGAGGTGAGCCGCTAGTTGCAAGCTGGCATCTGCCATCGGGAAAACACTTCCCATACCCCGAGGCAACACAATGCAAAACATCTAATTTTGCACAGTTCGGCAGGAGTGAAGCCAGTTGCCACCCTGGACTTCACGTCAGCAACATCGGAATATGGCAATATTGGTAATGGTCTGCATTCATGTTTAATGCCTGCCTCAGAAATGCTCCTGCCATGCTGGACATCAACACGAGAACCTCAATGTGTGTATATCTACTTGTATGTACAGTGTACGTACATACATACATACATACATACATATAAAAAGACACGTACATAAGCATACTGTAATCTTTCAAACGCTGTTTCAGAGTTTCCTGTGCAAGTCAGTTGAGCTTCGTTTTTTTTGGTCTCTTGTCGGAAGACTAGAGCTGGACACAAACTTTTCACTCGATCTGGAAATTGCTTTGGGACTGTGCGCACAGTAGGGCTGCATAAGGCGTTGCTCCCGGAAGGGCGCGGAAGCAACAAATATGTACGCCGAGGTCTTCTTTCAGGAATCCCGATGCTTTCCCAGGAATAAAGTTAAGGGTTCGCTTGCGAAACGGTCCGCCGAAGGGCACGCAAAAGGGAAGACATGCAGTGACTCAGAAACGGCCAACGCGTCGAGGCGCGGAAGCAGTTGCGGAAGGGCTGTCTTTGCGTCCTCGGGATTGAATCAGAATAAAAGTCACGGCCCAGTTGAAAAGCAACAACATTCCGGCAACTGAAATCAGCGACAGCTTGATCACGGAATCAACTGGGGCAAGTCAAGCCACATGCCGCAATGAATTCATCAACGGTTGTGGTTTTTGATTCAGGCACCAAGCAAACTCAAGTGATGTAACGCCTGCTGTCATGCAACAAGAGCTGAGATTCTCGGTGTTTGCTAACTGAGTCCTTGGTAAACAGGTGTCCATACACACACACACACAGGCATCTATACACCGCCACCACCACATTGATTTGATTAGCCTAAACAAGGCACACTCATGTGGGGTTTTCCGGTCCTGTAATTTTGCCTGTGAGTGCGTACGTCGAACCTGAACGAGTTGTCTGGCACGTTCTGTTGAAATGTGGGTTGGCTTTGGTACTCTTTGAGAGATACAATATCCGGACCTTCCCGGAAAAGCTGGTTTGACACGGTACTTATGATACAAAACGAGGGTCGGTAGTTCATGTGGGTTACCATATGTATGTGTATATATATATACACATACATTCATTCATTCATTCATACATACATATACATATACATACACATACACATACGCATACGCATATGCATATGCATATACATATACATATACATACATACATACATACATACATACGTACGTACGTACATTCGGACATACGTACATTCGTATTTACATACATACCTCTATTTGTTGCTAGATATCTGCCCAGGAGCCAGCACCTCTTGGATTACGAGGCCGTCCCTTACGAGGCAGCCAAGGCCCTCCGAGCCTTAGCCTCCCTTGCCTACAGTGAGCCCGTGGAGGTGGTCGGGAAGCTCAGTCGGGGGTTTCCCGAACAAATTTTGCAGTGCCGAAGTATGATGAGGTTCCTTATAGCAAGTAGCCAAGCATTTTTGTTGATGAGCTCGAGCTTATTTTGGGGCCCTTTCGAGCCGTAGCACGGGAGAGAGGGAATCCGGGGGGGTATGAGAGCAGAAGCAAGCAAGTAGCTGGACCATGACACTATGGCACCATGGAGACGCTGGATGTGCAGCTTAGGCGAAGGGGAGCTGCATAGAGCAGCTGCTGCGAATTCTTCGCCTCCATCGTGATTCTCTCGAGATCCTGGCCTTGCGCTGCCTTTGTCACATCTGCTTCTCCGCCGAAGCGGTCCGTTTCCTGCCAATTCAGGTCCTGCCGGCTTTGCTTGAGACAGAGAAGGAGGAAGGCTCGAAGCTCGCTTTCGAGGCTATGGCCCGGATCCTGGTGGCCGAGGCCAGGGAGCGGCCAAGGCTCTCGCCGGAGCTCTTCCGAGCGCAGTTTCAGAGAGACGAAAGAGACAAGCAGCGTGCGAAGTCCTTCAAAGAGATGCTCTTTCAGAGCGTTCAGGGCGAGCTCGTGCCGGCGACGTTCCTGGCCGAGCAGTTTCTCGCCGCGGCACCGGTTTCCATGAGAAAGGACACGGAAGAAGTCACGGCGGCGGGTTGGCTCTGGATGCTCGCAGAGTTGCTTGATACGAAGGGAAACAAAGAGCTGTCTGAAGCTCTGGTGTGTCAGAGCTTGGTCAAAGGCATCACTACTGCAACAACTGCTCTCATGGACATGCACACAACTTCGCTCAATGTGCAGTGTCAGGGCATCGCTGCACTGGCAGCCTTGGCCTCTCGGACAGAAGACTTTCTCCCTTGAGTGAAGAGAGACCCTTATGTAGAGAGTTCTTCCACATTCCTTGCTTACGGAGACTGAGAGAGACAGTCTTTTTTTGCAGGCCCGGAAGAGAAGTGGCCCGATGGCCATAGCAGAGGTGAGCGGCGTGAGGCGGGTTGAGAAAGCGCTGCGTGCACTTGGAGACGAAGCTCGGATCGACGAGACCTCCCATTAAAGCTTGCTCTTTTGGTTGCTAAACTCGGTGTATGATGACGCTTAATCATTAATTAGCACCCAAGCATGGTCCCACAAAACACTCAAGACTGCAAGTGTGCAAGTCTAAGGATGCATCACTTAGCTGCAGCTCCATCTCGTTCTTGGCCTGCGGCTCAATGCCATGCCAACCTGCCGGCTGCGCAGACTTCAAAGTGTATTCTGTCATCGCAACTGTATGCAAGTCCGGAGTGATTGTAAGCGACTTTCGAAGCCGTGGGCCTAAGCTAAGAAGTGATGGAGCTCAGCACCTTGAAATCACGGAGTTCCATAGCAGCTTGCAAACCAGAACGAGCCGACACACATCAAGCAAAAAGAGACAGAGTGCTCGAAACTCGAAAGATCTTCAATTCAAAAGGAACACCAGTCACGCGACTGTTGCTTATCGTTGTTCGATTGCATACGCTCTACGTATGTCAATCATTGCGATTCATGCTTTGCTGCCTTTCAAGCGGTCCGATGTAAGTTGTTGTCACCGTCGCGCTTGTACCCGCATCCGTGAGGGGATTGTCGCGGAGACAACATGCTCAGACTCCCATGAAATCCCACCTTCCCAGCATGCTTGGGTCTATTGACCTTCACCCTGACATGTGCTAGGTTTCAGTGCTGGACTGGCCACTACCAGCTCAGAAGCTGCAGCTCAGCTGTCCATTTGCATAAGATTTGAACTCATGGAACATACCGGGAAAGGAAAGCTGCAGATACATACGGCCATGCGTGTATGATTTGCGCATGCGAGACGAGTTTCCACATGGCAGCCGAGGTGCGAATTAGACTTTGCTCGCATCGTGCTTCTGATCAAGCAAGCCATGCAGCGTCACTTGGATGCCGTCGCCTGAGCCCTTGCTATTGAAGACCATAACTTAACCCGAAGTTAACACCTCGAAGTACCACACAGGCAATTGCGCGAGAACAGGAAAATACGCGAGATCGTGCAAAACTTGTGGATTCAACGCCGTGTGCTTCAGCTGCTGTGCCTCCTATGTGCACTCATAAGTCTTGCGATATCCTGAAACCAAATACAATTAAAACGACGATGAGTTCCCAGTGTGAAAATTGTGCGATCCGAAAGCAGTAACAATAAGAGACACTAGCAGGCCCATGTTCCAGGGAGGAGGTGCCCACAAGCATCGTGCTGCTAAATATGCCCATGCCCAAATGTCATGAAGATGTCATCGATATGCGATCATTACATGAAATCAACCACCGATTTTATGGTTCACGTCTATTCGGCAAGGCCGTTCCTCTTCAGGCAGGGAGAGTTCCTTGCCTTGTCTCAACCCCAGCTTGCCAAGCATTGGTTCGAAAATCCATCAGGTATTGACACTTGATGCGGCTGTCTCTGTTTCGCGCTGTTTTCTCGGATTAATTGATGAGCTAACAAGAGCTCTTGCAACTGTCAGACCTCTTAGCCTGGTGCAGGTGGTGGCACTCTCCGGCTTGGCCAGGTTTCTTGGCTTTCTTGGGGCCAGCGGGGCGGCGGAACGCAGTCTTTGCGTGCGAGGTTACTGGAGGTCCTGGCTTGCAAAGAGGATGTCATGGCTGGTGGCGCTGAGGGCCTGGTGAAAGCAGCCACTGGACAAAAACTGATCCAAATTCGGACAAAGGCCCACTTTCAGACCTTCGCATGAGGTGATGGCTCGGCACAAAGACCAAGAGCAGGTCTGGACCTGGGGACGTGCCTCGGACTTGATGCAAGTTGTCCATGTGCAAGTGATGGACTTCGTTGTAGAAAGCGCCGTTGACATGCCTTCGGAGCCAGGCATCGTGTTGGACAATCTCGGTGCAGATCGACACTGGACCTACCGCCAATGAGGATGCTCCATCTCAAGAAGCAAGAAAATAATGGTTGCGCCATGAGAAGTAGGCTTCTGCGCATGTTCCCCCGCGGCCCTCAGCAGTAGGCGTCGGCAGGCCGATTGAGTTGTGGAAATGATCCACCTCCCAGCGGCTCAAGCGCGGGAGACTTGAAGGGGGAGCCATGCGAAGTCTTGTTGCTCAGGAAGAGAGTACGGATGATGAGGAATCCTTCAACAGTGAGGATGCTAGCTGTATTGCGAACAAGGCGGAGACGGGATTCGTCCGCCGCAGATTTCGGCAGTTTCGTTTACCCCTCGCCCTGGGTATAGTCTTCGAATTGTTGCTCGTTTTGGCCATGTTGAAGTGGCTTGCCAACAACAAAGACTATGTGACCACGATGTGGCAAGATGAGGGCAAAGATGTCAGTACTCTGTTCCTTCCAGCTCAGCTTTTTCCAGTTATCTTCGTGACTTGCTTGTTGGGCCGGGGCTTGGCCATCTTTGCATGGAAATGGACCCTGTGCCGTGGCAAGGACAGCCAGTACAGCGCCATCTTCATGGCATTCAATTGTACGCAGTGGGTCCTCTACGTTGCTTTCTACTTCTGGTTGATGGGCAACCTCAGCGTGAGGATGGAACCGAAAGCGAAGAGCGAATTAAGACAGCTCCCGGATGAGCTACTAGCGGGGGACGGAGCGGGGTTCAGGTGGACAACGCGAGCTGGCATGCAGATGGCCATACAACGCCCTTCGAGCAAAATGCCCCTTTTCTCCGCTCAGAGACGCGCACTGCAGGAAGAAAGGCATGTATTTAGAGAGGAGAGGTCTGACCGAAGAGAGAGACTCTCTGACTCTCTCCTGCTCTTGGTCGCCTTTGCGGGCGCCTCCGCAAGAATCCAATTGAGGGACCTTGACTGCCGCGACTGCGCCACTGAGAGAAGGGCTGTAGACGAATCCACGAAGCTCGATGCTCACCAGTGTTCCGGCGTCTTTCTGCCAACTTTACCACAACACTTCTCATGTGAAGTGCTGCGTGGAAATGGTCTTCGAGCTGAAGCGCGCCACGTCCGATGAGGTTTGGCAGTCCAAGATCAAAGCGTTCTCCATGAGCATCGGCGATGTCTTGACCACGGCAAAGTGGCTTTCCATCCTCGTGATGACATGGTCGCTGCAGGAGTCGCCTTTCTTGCCTCCCAGCCCCGCATCGAAAGACTTCATGAACGGCGTTTGGTTGGACATCCTCGACTGCTTCATGTTCGTCTCATGTATCGATGATCCGAAGATCCAAATGCCATCTGTCGGATTAACAGCAGATGGCAAGCCTTCGCCGGCTGGCATGCAATACTACCTTGAAAGACGCATTTGGTACACGTGGTTGGTTTCTTCAATGTGTGCACTGCTGTCTCCATTGATCTATACATGGTTTCGGTACCACGAGACCGAGCCACAGGACGGGGGCAAGCCATATGTCACCAAGGACTCAATCCTGCAGGAGCTCATGGAACGAGTCCGTGTTCTTGACAAGGACGGTGCAGAGGAAACTCTGGATGAAGCCTTTCGAATGACACAGGCGGACATCGCCGAACCGGCCAACGCGTGTGCGTGTGCTGGATCCCACCGCGTCGCCACATCGGTTTCATCCCGGACGTGCTGGTTTTGCTCGCCGCGAGGAGAACGAGGTCACATACTGAGTGGAATACGACGACGGTAGCACGGAAGATGGAGTGGAACTATGTCAGCTCCAGCCGACCGAAGATCAACCGTATGCCGACGACGTGGAGAGCTGCACTGGGTGGTGCAGAACGTCCTACTTGCGCCCCGACGATGCCATGACTGCCATGCAGCGCCGCGCGAAATTGATCGATGCCTTTCGCTCCGTTCTTACACTGGAGTTGCCTTTCTTCTTGTGGCGCCTTTGGTTTAACTGGGGTGACACATCTGGCATTCAGGTTCACCTCTTGACAGTGAAGAATGGGCTGTGGGGATTTGGCGATCTCCTCACCATCCTGGCTTGCGGCAATGAAGATGCGACGATCATGGGATATGCTCCTGCAGCCATGATCTCCCGCTTCTTAGCGGGGCATGTGGCAGGAGCGATTCATGCAACTGGTCCTGGAGCTCTCACGGCAAAGGTTACGAAGTACGCTCAGAAGGCCGCTAAAAGCGACCTGCTGAAGCTGGAGCTCAAGCTGGAGTTCTTGAAGCAGGAACAGTATTTGGCCCTGATGCGCCATGAAGACAAAGAAGTCTTGCAGATGTTCGACGATGCCATCAGGGAGGTGACAATGACCCTTGACGACCGCAAGAACACGCTGGGGATGCTTCACACCTAGTCCGGCTTCTGAGATCTCTCGCTTGGTGCCGACAGGGTTTGGGTTCAGGCTTGAGAGTTAAGGGTTAGGGAGTTAAGGTTTTGCGGCTTCTTACTATAGTGGGGACGAGCTAGGAAGGACCCCCAGACCCAGCACAGATAAGCTCATGGAAGGTCTTTCTATACAGAGTTGGCTCGGAATCCCAGAGGTGGTTGTAGCTAGCTTTGGGACAAACTTACTTGCTACTAGTAGCTGGGTTGCTGTAGGATATCGTCGAAGAACATGGCCGAGCCACCTCTTACGAACTGGGGAGGACTCAGCGCTTTGCAGGGAGTGACCCTCACCTCCGAATCTCGACAATGTTGGACACTAAATGCTCCATTGATACTTCAGGAATTTGCAGCATTTGCTGTCTTCACGGGGTGGAGTATTTTACCTTTCCGTAGACTCTGGAGCGAATGATTTTGTGCAGTCTTCTACAGCTCCTGCAGCGAAGTGGAGGTGTTTGCTTTTGAAAAATGTATTTGGTTCGGTCCGTCGAAGCTGCTGATGTATGGTTTGGGGCTTGGTTTGGTTGGGTGGGGGATGGCGACAGGAGTTTGCGAACTACTGCAGGAGCTTATCAAGGACGTACAGCCTTCTCAAAGGAAAGTGCCGGCCATAATTTGTCTAGAAATGGCCCCAAGCCAGGGCTCTTTTCAAGCTTATCAAGGACGTGCTTTTCTGAGGAGACAGCCCGGACTCATTGGAGCTACAAACGCTGAACCGGATCCTACAAGAACCCCGTCCAGCTGTGCTCGCACGTGAGAAATGGGCAGAAGCTGTGTCGGTCGTGGCGAGACAGAGGAAGCAGTTGGCTGCAAGCGCTGCCTGGGTCGGCTTTCAAGTCTTCACGTGCCTTGTGGCTGTGCTGCCCCAGCTCTAACCTCGTGTTCTTGCAGCCTGCCCCTGTCGCTGTGTTGATAGTGATTCTTTTGCTTCTATCGGATGCTCAAGACATTTTGCGTTCGAGGTTGCTCCAGCCAGTGTACGTTGCCGCGCCGAGAGCACTCGATGGGGCTGGGTCTGTCCGTGGCCCTCCTGACAAGAAGGCCAGGCGAGGAGGTTTTACCACGAGCGTCGCGCAAACTCTCATGCCATGAGCGTCTGTGAACATCGGCCAACTCTCATGGCTTTGCAACCTGGTAATTTTTTCGGTGTGCTTGCTTGTTCCCGAATGCTCCGCACAAGGCTTCGCGTTTTAATTAATGTTGGGATCCAGCGGTCCAGGGCCAGGAGGTGACAAAAAGCGGTTGCGTTTGTGTCGGCAAGCGTCCCAAAGAGTTCGCAAAGCGTCCGTGTCCTGGTCGCCTAATGCGAAACTGTCGTCACTTGCATTTGGTCTTCGCGTGTCAAATGTTTTAACAGTCACGGGGATCGGGCGGGCATGTCGCGAAACGCAGAACTGGCGTCACATTTGGACTTGCGTTTGGTCTTCGCGTGTCCAGGGGTGGGTGGGTGGGTGGGGATCGGCGGGTGGGTGGGATCCCCATCCAGAGATGGAAGTAGAGTCTGCGACAGTCTGCGCGTGGAGACCGTGGAGACAAGCGAGGTTTGCAATCCCCACCGCTATTCGGCCGAGAAAGCTCAAAGAGGGCGAGAGAGGTGGTAGTCGGAGAGGACCGGTACTTTGTGGCCGATGATTGTTTGGATGGTTGGTGGCAAAATGTTGCTCTTACTCAGGGCTTCCTCGAACATGATCTGCCCGACAACAATGTAGAACATGATGTCGAACTTGTTTGGGGTTGGAGTTCTGAAGAGGAGGGACCCCTAATCTTGAGTGAAGCAGAGATGGAATGGATGGATGAAGAGTCGAAGGTTACCGAGTTGAACTGCTTGCTAGGGATGACGATGCTCAAGCGGATCGAGTTCATACCGCCTCAGGAAAAGACTTTGCGTACACGCTATGTCTTCGAGTTGGTGAAGCGGATATCGGAAAACAAAGGGCGAAATCAACAAAACAAATTCGGAAAAACCCGGAGGGTGATTTCCGAAAACGGCCGGTCAGGCTCATAAAACCGGAATCAGAAAACAACGAAGAGGATATGAGAAAACAGCCCAGGATCAGAAAACAAACTCAGAAAACAGGAAAGAGAACATCAGAAAACGGATGTAACACAAACTCAGAAAACAAAAAAGTCCCTATATGACCCTAAACCTTCAACAAATCCTGCCCTGACCTTGTGGTGGTTCTTCTAAGACCTCATCTTGGCGGACGTGGACCAGTACGAGGCGCAGCCCGGCGGCGGTCCTTTCACCCCTCGGTTTTGGCCACGAACCGAGAGGTGAAGGTAGGCTGCGCTCCTTTCACCCCTCGGTTCTGGCCACAAACCGAGAGGTGAAGGAAGGCCGCGCTCCTTTCACCCCTCAGTTTTGGCGACAAACCGAGAGGTGAAAGAAGGCCGCTCTCTTTTCACCTCTCGGTTTTGGCGACAAACCGAGAGGTGAAGGAAGGCTGCGCTCCTTTCACCCTTCGGTTCTGGCCACAAACCGAGAGGTGAAGGAAGGCCCCACTCCTTTCACCCCTCGGTTTTGGCGAAAGCTGAAGGAAGGCCGCGTTCCTTTCACCCCTCGGTTTTGGCGACAAACGAGAGGTCAAGGAAGGCCACACTCCTTTCACCCCTCGGTGTTGGTGACAAACCGAGAGGTGAAGGAAGGCCGCGCTCCTTTCACCCCTCGGTTTTGGCGACAAACCGAGAGGTGAAGGAAGGCCGCGCTCCTTTCACCCCTCGGTTTTGGCGACAAATCAAACCGAAAGGTGAAGGAAGGCCGCGCTCCTTTCACCCCTCGGTTTTGGCGACAAACCGAGAGGTGAAGGAAAGGCCGCGCTCCTTTCACCCCTCGGTTTTGGCGACAAACCGACAAGAGAAGGAAGGCCGCGCTCCTTTCACCCCTCGGTTTTGGCGACAAACCGAGAGGTGAAGGAAGGCTGCACTCCTTTCACCCCTCGGTTTTTGGCGACAAACCGAGAGGTGAAGGAAGGCCGCGCTCCTTTCACCCCTCGGTTTTGGCGACAAATCAAACCGAAAGGTGAAGGAAGGCCGCGCTCCTTTTTTTCCTATTCTTGGAGCTTATTTTTTAACTACTTTTTCATTATTTTTTGACAACCGGTACCTATTTTGGAAAACATAGTGATTCGTATTCTTTTTTGCATATTTTAAGCGTAAATAATTAACTTAGCAAATCGGAACATTTCCATTGGCAGACCCGTCGCAACCATAAAGTATTTCTGCACAGCGCGGTCTTTTTCTGAACCAGCACCAATCCATGCAAGCGACACCCAGACTTGTTATGAGATTGCCATAAAGGTGAACCTTTCACTGGTTACAAGATCTCTTTGGGAACCCTTATTTACCACAAGCCCCTAGGCCACAGAGGCCTTCCTGCATTCGATCCTCGCACATTTCCTTCGGATGGCGCCCAGATGCAGGGTTTAAATTCCGTGGAGTGCCTTTGGTGTTTGATTACGAGTCTCTTCCTACGGACGAGAAAGGATGTGGCAGACCCATTCAGGTCCCTCAGAACTGGTTATCACTGAAACTGTTGTCTTTCCGTTGCACGAAGCCCAAAACAGCAAGCCCGCACTCTTCAAGCCAGAGGCAGTAGAATGCCTCGCGTTTGGCGTAAGGAAGGAGTCGCCCACCCTTTCGAAAACTCGACCGAGCCCAGGGCCCGGTGCCCCTGTTTGCGGACTCCTGCTGTTTGTGCCGATGCCGCATCAGCCTGGCATGTGCAGTTCGTATTTTTGGGGGGGCATTTGGCCCGAATATTTGAGACAGTGCTCAACTGCGGTTGCTTCTGTGGGAAGACGGGCTTGCTCGCAGCATGTCGAGCTTTGGCGCGAAACTACATGGCGAGGCCTTCCGGTGCTTTTGCAGAAAGCTAGCGAACGTGCCTGGTTATCGCAATGCATTCCTATGGCAATAGGCAATGCTTGTGAAAGTCGAACGAGATGTTCTGCGGGCAGCGTCGGGGTTGCTCAGTATTTCGTTCCTCACAGTCAAGTTCGTCGCTTGTGGTTTGTCGCTTGTCATTCAGACCTTGCGCTGGAGGCCGGGGCAAGGCAATCGAAGTGCAGCAGCCGTCGCGGGACTTCAGCATGTTTCGTCGAGCACTCGACTTGTTGTGGTAGCCGGATCGCTTGCTGGCACGCTCAAGTTGCCGACAAAGGGATCAGTTCCGACGTGAAGCCGAACAGTTCATTCACGAGCGGCAAGCTCTTCGGCGCATGGCCCTGTCCTCACGGCAACACATGGCAATTGAATTCGCCATTCTCATTTTCATGACAGGCTGGCCTCGGTCTTCAACTCAGCATGTACTTTGAGTGAGCTTCATTGGTTTTGATGATGCATTCGCGGCCTGTTGCAGGGAATCCTGATGGCACGACTGCCGCTATTGAATGGTAAGCACACAGCGGCGGACTTGTGATGGGCCCACTTTAGATCGCGGTTACTGTGTTCAATGCGGAGGCCAGGCCAAGCGGAGACAAAGACCGGCATGGTATGCCATCATCGGTCACAGGGCATATGCACTAGCTGTCACTAGCTTGACTTTTGACTTTTGCATCCAATGTCCTAGATCTTCCTTCGTTCATGATGCCCATGTAAGGAGTATCCATTTCTCCACAGCACATGGCTTTGAAAGACATTGTCACTTTGCACGTTTGCCGTCTGTTGCAAGATCGATTGGCATGTGGCATGGTGAGGATTCTATGATTGGTTGCGCTTGTCCACGAAACCTTGGCCAGATGATGCGTTAGGCGACTGTTGTTCACGTTGCGTTTGACAGAGTTCACAACCGATGATTAGTGTTGGTCTCGTCAGTCCGCTTGTTAACTGGGTCGGAATGGCATTTGTCGCATGCAGATCTTACACTTGGGCAGCGAGAATGCACTGCGCAACACGTTCACGAAGCACCTTGTTGCAGGGGTTAGAGTATTCCAGTCGATTGCGCAAAGTCGATTGCGCAAGTCCGGAGTCCTGATGTAAACAGGAGTAATCATTCGACGGAAGAGGATTGGAATAGCTTCAACATGCTTCAACGAGTTAGCTGGCCGTGTCAATGTCCCGTTCATGACCAGCCATGGCTTCTTATTGCCGTTGCAATGCAAGGACTGGCCAGGATGTGATGAATGAGTGTAGCAATGTTGTTCGACTTCGGCTTGAGGTGCAAGCTGTCCTCCCACCACGACCGAGCGTGGCACCAGAGATTGCTCCGCAGGCTCTGCTTTGGATCCTTGCCGGTTGCTGGCGCCAACCCTGCATTTTGTCTTCTGGGTTTTGTCTGACGACTTGCTTCAGGCGCGTAGGCCAAGCACCGTCCCGGAGTTCGATGCATGGAGCGAGGCTAATTGTGCACGGGCTTTGTTGCCTAGTTTGGGTTTGGTGAGTGACTTGAGAGCTTTTCCTCTTCACAGTGCAGAGAAACCGGATATGGAAACCTATGTCTTCAGAGCATGCGAGGCTGTGCCAATTCGACCCCCCCCCCCCCCCCGCACCCCCCGACACGCGGTGGAGGCCCATGCTCAATAGAGACCAACTGTTGCAGGAGGAGGAGCCGGCGCCTCCAAGCGCCCCAGAAGCCGAGGCCGAGAGTGTCCCGACGTCGTGAGATGCTCGCGTTTTCCAGCTGTTCTCCTTC